GGACGATAGCTGGACGAGTTAGCCTGAGACTGTCTCAGGCTGAAGTCTTCTTGTTCCGCATACGCTATCGCCTTTCCAGCGTATGGAAGTCCTCTCGGAACGTGTAGGTCTTCACCGGTCCATCCACAAGGCCGTAAATGAACACGTTGATGAGCGTATGCTCATCAACAGGGTTTTCCGTGACGCTACTCGCAAGGTAGCGTAGGCGTTGTGCATAAGCGTGCACATCACGCTTACCTTGCTTGACACTCAACAGTGCAGAGCGTACTCTGAACTCGGCTCTTTGCGGCTCAAACGTTTCTTTGATGGAGACTTTAAGATCTCCAACGACTCAAACACGTTTAAGTCGTGAAGCTTGATACCCTAGGCCTAAGACTTTACTTGTCCGGTCAAGTTTGATAGGGCGAAGGTGACTTGCATCTCGTCACCCTCGATATGACGGGCCCTTATGGCGTCATCTAACTTGACGAACCACCTCAAAAGGAAATATTTATCGGTTCCCTTGTAGCTAGAGATATCAATCTTCAAGGTTTCGGGTCGACGCGTGTGCGTCGGCCCGCCCATCGACTGATGAGAGCCTTGGTGTTGTAGCTAGACTAGCTTCTGCCTTTCGACAGCAAGTTCTCCTTGTAGGGACTTGTTTAAAGCATCATGCTGCTGTTATATATATAGAGACTCCTACATGCCACTGATGGCGGTGTCGCCCATGAATACGCTCATGTGACCGACTGTCTTCCATTACGAGTCACTCAGAGGGGAGTAGCCTTCACGTGTGACGTGAAAGTTGTCGTCTTTAACATCAGCATGTTCATGTTGGACAGACACTAGGTAGTCGTTAGACAAAGTAGAAAGTGCTAACAGATGTAACGGGAACCCTTTTTTATGGTGCCGCGAAACTGCACGTACACTCGTACGTGCAGAGGCAGCTAATCTACTCAACAACTACGTTGAGTATAGGGTAAAACGAGAACTGTATTTAATACAGTTATGCTATCAATCCAACTTCAATCTTTATCTAACCGTGTTAGTCTACATTTTCGTATGACGACAACCTGTTCACTACCCATTACGCGCGTCTAGCAGTGATTGATGGTAACATTGTTTGATATGTCTGTTATCAATCAATCTTTGAGCAGCACGTGCATAATGTCCTGATGGATGATCTCCCTTCAATATCAACTATCTTGTGTAATATTGGCAGAAGATTGTCACACTGGACAATCTATCTATTGACCAATTCTGGTGTCAATATCATGTAACGAGCTACCTCTTCACATTTACAGCACCAACAAAAGCAACGATATCTTTAAGACACATTATCCATCTGCGATTTCAGTTTCACGACACCCAACGCATACCCTCTCTATGTAGCTTCTCGTAGAACGTATAGATTAGAACGAGAGCGGAGGATGAATCAAGACAAGCGCGAGACGGGAGCGAGTTTCCATTGTTGCGAGCCCGAGCGTGAAGATATTAGTGAGTGTGCACAAGATTGAATGCCGAACTCTTGAGTCGTACTTATCTGTGTGTTTGTGTCTGTCTGTAAATAACGCGGTTAGGTGTACCTTATACGTACAAAGTGCGATACAGCATGTTCCCTTCTCAAAGGATTACAGACATCTTCGATGTCACTCTTTGAGTGGGTCACTATTATAATGCACGCTTGGAATTGGCCTAGTATCGATTCAAGATGAATCATATAAGCAAATGCTGGACGCTGATTCGCAAAGACCGATCGCGTTGGCCACGTAGACTGCACTGGTATAATACAGACTTTTACAGCATCATACTCCTTCTTCCGCGACTGCTGCTGTATAGTGTTTTGCAACTTGGTTCAATTCTATGAACTGGATCACTTATATCGAAAGGCGGGCGAGTTCTGGAGCGTGCTCCTCTATCTTATCATCAGCATTAGATTGCACATAACAGACTAATGTGACAAGTCCTATTTCTCATTGGCCAACACAAATCGCCGGTACAACGACCCACTCGCGACCGGGACGTTGAGCCTTTGCCTTATCTTGGTCCGACCTCTCGAAAGACATGTGTCGATGCATCGTTATCTTCTGGAGCTCTGTGCGTGCTGTTGAGCTTTCAGTTCGAAGTCGTTCGATACTATCAGTTGGTATCAGTTAACCCCTAGCCGTCAATCACGTGCAAAGCTACAAGTGTCTCAAGCCGATCGATTCAGCGAACGAATGACACGATTTCGGCAGACCCAAAGTCGATACGCTCACCTCCAAAGAACAAACGACGCGAAGCTGTTGCAGCAACAGCCAGGGGACTCTTTCGTCAAGTGAAGACGGTGATGAGCGCTGTATACGGGGCAATGGAACAAGTTGGATGCAAGGTGCTATCGAGCGTGGCTAAAACAATGGAAGAGAGCACAAAGGGAACGTCGGTAGCATCTTCGGTCGTCTCCGACACGAGCTCTGTCGGTGGACTAGATACTGCGGCCAATAATTTTACGCACCATCTGCTCGCGCCGAATTCAGAGCTTCTGTTCTCAGGAGCTCAACGACTAGCCCGAGAGTTTCTACAGCAATGGAAAAGAAATCAGAGACCATGTCGATGATGGTAGGTTTGTCGGAGAACTGGGACTTCTAGTATTGGAAGTGCTGATGGGTGGAACGAAGAAGATCTGGTTGTGCCAAACAAGCCACTTAAGAACTGTTTGCCATATCGCGTACCTCCACCGGCTGCTCGTGGTAGAGACAAGGTCATTCGTGCAACGCGGAAGAAAAACGTGAGTTAAGAGTTATGCAGTAGAAAAACGTGATTACTGGCTGTACATTCAGTTGGAGTACTGTGCTTGCCGCAACTTGGCAAACAATATGGCTGTATGTTCGAGTGCAGTACCGTGCTGGATGCAACTTGGCAGACTATCTGGCTGCTCCAAGCCGCCCGATAGAGTTGTCGAGAATATTGAAGATCTTTGCGCACATTGCAAGTGCACTTGCGCACATACATTGGTGTGGACTGATTCATCGTGATCTGAAGCCAGCGAATATCTTTGTTGCCGACGAGTATAGAGATGCGATCAAGTTGGTGGATTTCGCTTTATCGCGAGCCGCTGCGAATGCGAGCAGCCTGAACACCTCGGCAAGTTTTGATGATCCCCAACAAGGGCATTTTTTCAACGGTGTGCGGGACACTCCTCTGTCTACTTCGATGCGGTCGAACACGTCGGAGAAACGACGCAATTGCTGGTGTTGGCGCGTATCTTGCGAAAGCCGGAACAAGCAGCCGAGAAGTACAACTCCAAGACGGATGTGTACTCTTTGCGAATGACCCTTTTGAGCTGTGTCACGACCGCTTTGGCACGACAATGGAGCGATACATCACTCTTCGTGATGCCCGAGATATTGAGTTCCCTACTGAATCCGCGCGGCAAAGAGATGTCCCGAATCCCTGAATGTGCTCAGCAATTTGTTCAGTCACGACCCGAGTGCGCGGCCAACAGCCTATGCTGTCGTTCAGGGGGGGGCAAATTGTAACGGGGCAACCTGAAGCTTGTACTGATGACAGTACAAGCTGCTTTTTCTGACGACAGAATAAGGCGGGCCTCGGAACTTCACGTACACTGGTACGTGCAGAGGAAGACGGTAAGAAGAAGCGAGTACTTGGTTAGAGTAAAAAGTAGAACTGTATTTATAATAGTTAATGTCTGCAATAAATCACTATTTATCTTCATCTAACTATGTCTAAATACAAATGTGTATATCAACTATCTGCTCACCACTCATTGCGTGCGTCTGTCGTGGCGCGTCTTCGTTGGTTGATATAATGGCCTATATCAACCAATTAGGAACTACTCGTAAGTGCTACAGGATATTTGTCCTTATGATAATATTCTGAGAATATAACTCTTATAGTTATATTCTATTAACAATTTCTTATAAATTGTTATGTAACGATTCACCCCGTTACATCACCCCCCCCCTTAACCATCAGTCACTTTAGTGACTGATTGACTAAATGGATACTCGTCCCAAATCATTTGGGACAGGGTTTGCACTTGTTGGTCCGAGTCCACTTTCCAACAGTTCATCGCATGGTTAACAAGCCCATGCGATGCGCGAGCAAGGCCGCCGAGAGCGCGTCTGCACGTCTCTGTGCGGGCGCTGAAGCAGAAACCACAGCAGCTGATGTCTCATCGGTTGCTGAAGCGACCCAGCCTGTGTCGCTTGGTGATGCAGGCGCTGGTCATGAAGACAATCATGTCTTCACAGAGTACGAGCTCGGTGTCTCATACTCTCATGATACGGAAGACGGATCCGTATCGACGGCGATTGAATCCAAGCCGCCTGCCAAGCGTGGCATGGACGATGATTTGCGTCGCAGCATCTTTGGTTCATCTGATGAATCGGATGAACCATCGCCGAAGCGAAGGCGCTCGAGGTCGCGAGACTCGGGCGCTAACAGTGGTGTTGGCTCTCCTATTGACACCACTTCGCAACGAGGTGCCAGTACTTCTGTCTGCACGTCGCAAGAAGAGCGGGACCGAAGTGTTTTGCGTCTCGCTCCTGAGAAGAAGGCATGGATGCCTCCCAAATCCGTCATGGATCACTTGTCGGCGACGACGAGTGATCGTTATCGAACACGATTGTTCGATTCGTCAAGGATCCATCACCTTGACCCCAGCGCGAAAAACTATCGCGCTGAGAATGAATTCTTCATCGATGCTTTCTTTAGACATCGATAGTACAGTGGGAATTCCAAGCGTGATGGTCCCTCACTGCTTCAGGCGTGGAACGCCTACATCCATAACCTTGAGGATGTAGGTCGTGACGTTTGGAACGAGGAACTTATCAAAGCTCGTGATAAGTTTGAAAAGCGAACCCCGACAGGTGCACGCTACAAACTGCATCGTCTGTCAAGGGAGAAGGGATTACCCTGCCTCTCTTGGGGAGACTCGTGCCCATGTTGTGTGAACAACTCTGCACGAGCACCTAATGAGGCTTACCTCCTTACCAGCCCGTGGTGGCGCGTACGTGTCTCTACTGAGATGTAAGAAGGGATTGACAACCTGAAATCCCTTTACGACCGTGCCGGGAAGACTTTCTCCGGCGGTCCTTCTGCGGCACAGGATGTGCCGCGTCGTACTGCTCAACCAGACCCAGTACGTCGATCATCAGTTGGGAGCGGGGCTCCCAAGAATCCCAGGACGGGGGATAGCCGCGCCACCGGACGAGATAACTCGTCCGACGTCCGTTCACGTCGCGGTGGTTCAACAGCTGCTCAACTAGATAGCGCTGGCCACCGCGAGAGTCCTCTAAGGGTGGTGGTGGAGGAGGAAAGACGATCTCCACACGATCATGGGGATCCGTGTGTTCCCGAGAGCTTCTTTGATCGCGTAACGCAAGGGTTACGCAACGATCTCGAACATGAGCGGGACAGGCGTCTCCAAATGGGGGACACTGTCTTGAAGCATCGAGCTGGGTTTGCCTTTGCTCAGCTTGAGAACGAGAGATCTCTGACATCTCTTCGTGACGAGCTAAGGGTAGCTCGTGGGATAGTTGATCGGTCTCGGGATGAGATAGCTGCTCTTCAGACCCTTGTTGATGCCCACCATCGGGAGCACAAGGCTCTCTGCGAGATGCTTGAGCGCAAGGGCGTTCTTCATCGGAAGAAGCAGCGTACTGATGGTACGGCTTAAACCGACCAAAGTAAAACGTGGGATGCGTTCGCATCTTACGTGGTAACTCGATCGTGTATGCATTGCCTAGGCGGTGCAATACACGAAATGGGCCGATGTACTTGGGTAGTAGTTTACTGCTACCCAAGTTTGTCACTACATGCTTTTGTAGATTAACCGTAGACAGTAGGACTAAGTCACCTTTATTAAATGAAAGAGTGTTTGCCCTTCTATTCTTGTCAGCGTTTTGCTTTTGCTTGTCCATCGCTTCGGCGGTGGAGTCTTGCACAAAACGGACTACCGTTTCACGAGCCAGTATGAACTCATCTGATGACTCGTTAGCTTCAGTGCGCTGTGAGTGCACTGCAGCAACATCAACCTTTTCTTCAGTGAGGGCTTCCGCACTCTCACTGGCATCATCTTCTTCATCGAGGGCTTCTGCACTCTCACTGGCATCATTTTCTTCGATACCGATGTTATCGATATCGGCATCAAACGCAATGACCTCTTCGTCAGAGCGTGATTAGCGTGAACCAAATCGGTTTTTGCTCGCGCGAGTCCCTCCCCCTTAAACCAGAGTTACACTCTAGTAAGGTGGGTACACGCGGATGGCGCAAGCCATTCACGTAAAACGGTGTGTGTGTCGTGGACGCATGCACCGAGTTGTTGATGGCAAACTCTACCATTGGCAAGAGCTCACTCCAACTGTCAAAGGAGTGTACGTATCCTCGAAGTATCTCTTCAAGGACACGATTGGCACGTTCCGTCTGACCATCTGACTCTGGATGATCAGATGTCGACATCTTCAAGCGCGTTCCGAGTGATTTGAACACGGAACGCCAGAAATCAGCAGTGAATCGTGGATCTCTGTCTGATACGAGTTCACGGGGCAACCCATGAAGTCGGAAGATGGTTTCAATAAAGACACAAGCACAGCCACTTGCCGTGAGTGTCTCTGGTACAGCCACTAGGTGTACCATTTTGCTGAATCTGTCAACAAATACGAGAATACCCGTATTCTCGCGTGCGTCTTTGGGTAACCCGAAGACGAAATCCATTGAGATGGATTCCCAGCACTCAGCCGGAACTGGTAGAGGCTGTAAAGGTGCACGCAGAGAAGGGCTTGACTTCACTCGTTGGCAGACTTCGCATGCGCGAACATACTTTCGCACAAACTGATACTGGCGGGGCCAGTAAAAGTCTCGACTCACCGTGAGATATGTTTTCTCCCGGCCACGATGTCCTCCTATAGGAGCATCGTGATACTCGAACATGATCCGCAAACTCAGATCAGTATCATCTGGAATGACAACACGTTGTGTGTCACCAGAAACGGCTGTATAATACAGTAAACCGTTACGAGTAGTGTATCGATCTGATGCAGATCGATACGCAGGCGACAATCGTTTCAGCGATTCTCGAGATGGTTGGGAGAGATGTGTCAACAACTTCACAATCTCACCATCTTGGGCATACGCCCGCCTCACATCATCATACAACGTTGTAGATGGGACTGAGGACGTCATAACCGCAACAGTGACCGTCTCACTGTTGGGTTTCGCGACTGTTTCAAAGTCGGGACGACGTGAGAGTGCATCAGCGACGACATTAAGTCGTCCTGGTTTGTACTCGACCGTAAATTTGTATTCTGCAAAGAATGACAACCACCGCGCCATTCGTTGTGAAAGGTGCGGGCTGTTCACTGCCGTGCGTAATGACGCATGGTCAGTGTAAACAATGAAGGGTCTATCTCCTAATAGATAGACTCTGAACTTCGCGAGTGCATACTTCATGGCAAGGAGTTCCTTGTCATGCACTGGATAGTTCCGCTCAGCTGGTTGCAGCTGACGCGACTGATAGCAGACGACGCGTTCAACGCCTTCTAGGTCGTACTGCATTAATGCACAGCCGATTGCGAAATCGCTGGCATCACAGACCACATGAAATGGCCTGTCCTGATCGGCTATTGCTAGGACTGGGGATTGTATCAAGCTCTGCTTGATACCATCAAAGGAGCGCTGACATTCAGCGTTCCATGACCACCTCTCGTTCTTTTTCTACAAACGAGAGAGGTGCACAGTCATCTCGGCGTAATTGCGTGAATACTTATGCAATACGCCGCTAGCCCAAGGAATTTTCGAAGACCTTTGACTTCGACCGGCCTAGGCCAGTCGGTGATCGCCTTGATCTTTTCGGGATCAGGACGTACACCGTTCTTACCAACGATGCACCCATGAAGTGGTATTTCGCTTGCTGCAAATATACACTTCTTGAGGTTTGCATACAATTGATTCTTTCGCATGATTGTAAGAACCTGTCGGACGTGGTACCTGTGAACCTCAACGTCCGACTTTCCATCCATAGCACGACTATGGATGAATAAGTTATCGAAATAACTCGGCGCGAATTCTCGTACTGGTCTCAACAGATGTGATACGCATCTGTTGAACGTGGCAGGGGCATTACTAAGCCCTTGTGGCATTACTAGCCATTACCAGAGCATGCCGCTAGGCGTGCTAACTGCGGTATAGGGTATATCCCGTTCTCACATAAGGATTTGATAGAAGCCATCCATCAAATCCATTGACGAAAAGATGGTACTCTTTGACATACCATCAACGATTACGTCCTTTCTCGGTATCGGCGTCTGAGCCGGTACCGTTGCATCATCCAACTTGTTAAATGCATGCACTATCCGCCACCCTCCTGTTGCTTTTCGCACACAGAAGGTCGGAGAGCTATGTGGGGAAGTTGATTCCCTCACATGTCCCGCAGCTAAACGATCGGCAAAGAACTTGTCGATCGCAAGTACTTGTTCACGAGGCAGTGACCACTGCTTCATGACACAGTACTTCGAGCCTGGTTTAAGCTCGACCTCGTGTCGAGTACCTGTATCCTTCGGTAATTCGCACGGAACAGGTTCAGGGAATACATTCTTGAATTCAACCAAATCTTCATAGAGAGGATTTGTCTTGAGCGATTCCCATGGTTGAGAGTCATATCGCTCAACTCGTGTCTTTTCATTTAGGACACTCTCGTCCATCGATGAACTACTGAGAACTCTCTCGTTCTCAGTAAACATTGTTGCTGACCTTATGTCGGCTACACACTCGTCGTCAGCGACAAGTACGCAGATCTGCTTGACTTTGCCACTACGCAGATCACGCAAGAACCTTTTATGTTCGAGCGTTGGCAACTGAGTGATCTCCGAAGTCAACTTCGGAGGCGCAATCAGATCAAGTGCATAAGCGCCTACACTTGATCCGTTATTGACTATGACATTCAAAGTCTCTGTCATTTCCTGGGGACTTATTCCCTCAGGCCTCAAAGAACTTATTCCTTCGGCTTCCCAGGGACTTATTCCCTCGGGTTTCGGGGAACTTATTTCCGCCGTATTTGTAATCTTGGGACTTATTCCCTTTACTTCCTCTAGCTGGGGTTGCGCAACCACAGCGAGATCCTCTACGAAAGACTCTCCAGTCGATCCAGGATTATCGTTTCGCTTAACCTGAGCGATCGATGGTTTCACTTCTTGATGTTTTCCGCTAGAGATGCATCTTTGTCCCGGTCCACTCGACTTATTCCAGTGTTGGACCTTCGGCGCAGCCTGTGTTTCCTCACAGCCGCTGGAACTTTGCTCCGAAGTGTAACCGTTTGGTACACTAAGGTTTTGTGCAGTCGTACTTACGACCGTACAACAAGTGAGGCCATCGCACTCACTCTTAGTACATCCACACGCTTGTGGACGCTCCAAAACGTTCATCAGATGGCCATCTGATGAACAAGCGGCAGGCATCGTTACTGTTCGATGTTGCCAGTTTACCCGTGATTCGTACCTTCTGAGCCACGGTATTCCAAGGATGACATCAAATTTTTCATCCAAATCCAATACGATAAAGTCATCGTCATATTGGTATCTTCTAGCGTATAGTGGATCTTCACTATACGCTTCATGACGGTTACGGATGCGCCTGTCGTAAGACGTACCGTCATCCTCGTAGGAGGTGTGTCACATTCACTGAACTTAAAGTGACCATCTTCTAGCGATTGGCGTCGCACAAAATTGTTGGACGCCCCACAATCGACTAGAGCTCGAAGGGACAACTTATTCGTCACTTCGAGTTTCAAGGTAATGAGTGAGACCTCATTACCTAGAGCAGCAACGCACAACGTTTGTGTGTTGGGAGCAACCTTCATCAAGAGGCCTACAAATTCTCTTGACGTTGCTGGACCAGTAGGGTGCTCCGCACCTACTGCCACTCATTGCGTGCGTCTGTCGTGGCGCGTCTTCGTTGGTTGATATAATGGCCTATATCAACCAATTAGGAACTACTCGTAAGTGCTACAGAATATTTGTCCAATAAGATATTCGATATCACCTTCACAAAGGGATAACCTCAGGTGTGTAACACCCCTGGTACAACGTACCATAATTTCGTGCAACCCCGTTACACAAATGGTCTACGAAACTAGCCTTGCCTCAGAAAGCTATGGATGTTGTGCGCTCGCCGCGCAACCTGGGCGTGATTCAAACCGCAACTGGTGCAAACTTTTCGTGCTTGGTATTGATCACGTCAAGGCTGGCATCGGCATTACGGTTCTTACGACCACGATTTCGCTAAAGGTGGAGGCTGCAATGGAGAACTGCAGTGATGAGACTGGCGGCGTGCGACGTTTGCTGAACCACAATTTGTTGAAGCAATTGTGCAACGTGATTGTCGGAGTGAACAATGGGAAGGTTGAGATCAAGAAGTGTGGATTGCACATGGAGGGCGTGACGATTCTAGCATTTGAGTTAGACCCACAGAGTGCTCTCGCCATTGTACCTGGCAGCAATGTGGAAGGCTCCGTGGATTATCGCAGCCCTTGCTGGAGTGCAGACGATGCATCGTGTGAGCAGGATTGATTGAAGCTCTGTGCCAGCCTCAAGCGAGAGATCAAAACCAAGAGTTGCTGTTTCAATCCGGGTACAAGGAAGCCGCGTCGTGCTTGGAACGGATGTGAAGTCCGCTCGCCTTGTCTTTCGTGCGATGGTGCTACGCGTATGGCATGAGGAACAGTAGTAATGCGTGCTGTTCACAAGGCGGTCTTGCTTGCTGCTTCAAGCCTGTATCGCCACAGCCGAGACTTATCATTCAGCAGTAAACCGTGTGTGGCAAACGTTTTGTAAGCGTGCCCAACGTGATTCAGCTCCAAGCCGATGTTTCAGCAGACAAGAAGTCACTGGGCTGATGTCAAGCCGGCGGAGCAGTATTCCAAACCTGATTGCAGTAAGAACATGCAGCCCTGCCCTCGTTTTGCTTACAAGTTGCAGTGGCACGCGTAATGCGTCAGCTGGACGAGGGCTCTACTACTCATCTTGGTTGTACAGAGCAGCTAAAGCACCAGGGATATGGTTCCCAGCGAGCCAAACTATGATTCTCCTTGCAGAGTCGCTGGGTTACACCTGTCGCACGTATGATGATGAACAAACACGACACAAACATGGTTGGCGATGTTGTCCAGCATGTCAAGTCAAATGTCTATCTAGCTTGCCTGCTGTCAAGTCTCGATGCCATGACGAATGCAATCGATCTCACAACTTCGTGCCTTTAACAACAGTGCCATAAGCAGCCGAGTATCGAAAAGCACGCACATTCAACGTTGATGCCGATTCGACTAATACTCCAGATCTACCTTCAGGTGTAGGAAGACGCGCTTGCATCAGGGTGTAGCAGCAACGGAATCCAAGAGAGAAGCCGTGTCAGAATCCATTCACTCTTGAAGAAATGACTGGACACGTTCCGGTTCGAACATGTTTCTGACCCAATGCGTCGTTGGCAAATGTGAGTCTGTGGCTTCGAGGGTAAGGTCAATCCATAAAAGATGTTGCATTCCACGTTATCCGACTTGTCTTGATGATAAAGACTAGCAAAGTATTCTACACTTGTTGCAAGCTCACACGCATCGATGGCTCTAGTACCCTGCTCTATCAAGCATCAGGTACTTGGGCAAACCCTTTGTCAAAGCCAGTCCAGACGCGCACTGTCTTGCTCCACCTAGCGCCGAATGGAAGGTTTCGTGCTCTTTTGGCCCTTCGGAGCTCGTTTTTTTCGCGCTGGTGCAAGCTCGAGCGTCATTGCAGTGTCCGCCTTCCTCTTCGCTTCCCATTTTTTGCGCAGCTTCATCTCCCTCACAGCTTCTGCGACGGCGCGCTCCCAGCCAGTAGCCAGCGTAATCTGCAAAGCTGACGTCAACTCAGTCCATGCCTTTTCACGGTCTTGAGGAACACCTTTCGCGTGAAGACTCCGCAGCGTATCCTGAATCATGTCTTCACTCACTTCTGCCTCGAGAAGCTGCGTCATGAGACCCGTGACTGTTGTTTTACCAAAAAACTTCTTTCTGATGAGCTTCACTAGCACGTGGGTGGCAACTTCTATCTTCGATCGCGCTGCGATCCATAAGAGTTTATCGAGGTCGGAACGGAAAATGTATAGTAGGCTCGAAGCTAAACGAGCATTTTTGCCTCTTCTATTCGGTTTGTAGCAATCAGTGAACTCCTTCCACATGGCCAGATTGTTGTCTGTCAGGCCTTCTTTCTCGATCACATCTTTGAGCCCCAGAAGACTAAAGGCACCTGGAACGGTGACTTTCTGATCCTGCAAGAGACTTAGCATCCTGATCTCCACCGCACGTGCCTCATCCTTGTCAAGATTTTCCGCCTTAGCTTTCCGCAAAGCAATCGCGACTTCAGTAAAGCCATCAATACCATTGCGTAGTGTCGGATCATCCACGTTTTCGTTTTTTGCATTCTTCTTCAGAAGCGTCCACGTTTCATCCGTCACAGGATGCAAACCCGCACGCGCTTTCAGCTCTTCGATGATCCTCTCGATGTCCGTCGAATGAGGAACCATGACATGCGCCTGCTCTTTCCCCACGCCCGAAATCAGATCGAGCAGAGGCTTTGGGTGGTCTGGTTCTTGCGAAAGCCTTTTCGCCACCGTTTCGCTCAGCTCAGGACTCGCTTTTCCCACGCGCGAAATCAGATCGAGCTCTCGCGGAATCGTTCGGCTCGACTCAGGACGCTTCATGGCTTGTGACTTCTCCGCCAACGCTAAGATTTCGCCTGGTGGTATTCCAATCCTCGCTTCGCTCTCGTCTTCGTCGTTTCGTTGCGCGGTATCGTCACTGATGTCGTCCACGTGGCCACCGGGATGAGCAACGGAAGGAACATCAGGTCGCGCCGTCTTCGAGCCTGAGGCGGGGTACCTAGAGAGGCAATCGATGAACACAACAGCAGCCAGTAGCTGAGTTGAGTAGATGCGCATTGTGAGTAAAAATGGGTCAGCTGGTTGGTGGATAGAGGGGACAAGTGGCGAGTTTCGTTGTGATGCGTATTACGAATAGCAGAGACTTTGGTCCGGACGTGATCCCGCCTTCTTAGAGCGTCTCTAGCAACCAGCATGATTTAACTTTCTGTCCAATCAGAAGCCTGTTTTTATTTATTTGCACTGCAAAAGTGTGCCACAGTAGCGAAATAACGTGGGGGACGACTCTTACAAGTTTGTTTTTCGATTTCCCGCCTACGTTTGACAGGTCAGCGACATCTGAAATAGCTTTTGAGACTGCATGTCCATCGGCTCAGGATTTCGATTTTAATCGGTTCGTTGTCTAAGATTAGTGGCGTGTCATTGGCTGCAGTTCATTGGGCAAAACGAAATATTACACAGACCATGCGGACTTCGAATCGATGCAAATAAGAATTTATCATTCGTGCTAAAATTAAGGTGACCAAAACTTCTACCAGCCACATTCGGTCGGAGATGAACTTAGATCGTGTTTGTCAGGTGATCGAAATATTTGTTGAACCTCTCGCTGAACCTATTGGAGTTTGTTTATAAAGGTCACTGAAACGTTTGTTGAACCTCTTATTGGACCTCTCATTGAACCTCTTTTTGAGCGTTTAGTTTAGTCAAAGTACCCCCCCTCCCTAGGCCAAATTTCAACATACGGTTGAGCGGTAAAGTAATCTCGCTACTTGAAGCGTGCTCGATCGGTTCCAAGATAGGACCTCTATCTTTTTGTACCTATGCTCTATCAGCAAGCTCTATAATTTTTTGTGGTTTGTGCCAGCCCGGCTGTAGTGTACAAAAGATCCCAACAACTGAGGACATATTTTAAGGATCAAATACCGTCTGTATCTCGTGATAGTGGAATGAAGCATTTTAGGTGGCTGTTTACGGTGTGACCTTGGGTCGACTTGTTGATTTCAGAGAGGTATCAACTAGCACAACATTCCAGATGCACTGACGCCTTTGCGAATTCGGCGTGCGTGTTGGTATGCAACTATCTAGGGAATGTATACTGCAATCGTGTTGACTAGTAACAACGACAACATCAATCAAAGTGACGTAAAGATTAATGCAAAATCGACAGTGGCTAGCTGGTAGTAGCTCATGTCTACCACTGCTTACTTAACGTAGTCAATTATAGATTGAACTCCAATACAATCGTCACAAGCATGGAGGTGGTGATGTAGCCTCTATCGTTGCCGAAAAAAGTACAGCTGCATAGGACTACTTTGACACCATGTTCGACATCGAATGAATCACACAAACTGCAAGTGCTGCCGCGAAGGAAGCTGCAGTCGTCGAGAGGTTGTTATCAGTTTCGCCAGAACAAAACGGAGGTTAGATGTGTAGCATTCAGGACATTGTGACACACAAGGAAACATAGTGCAACCAATCAGCTAGCACTTCTCGCTGTACAACGTATACCTGTTCTATGTTATCCGCGCACGGGACATTTTCCTCGATTGCTTTGCTTCTTGATATGATATCGAAGTTTCAAGCACATCGGATAAACCGCCTTTGAACCCTTCACTTAGTCGAAAGTGGTAGAATAGCAGCGTTGATTTCGACAAAAACATTAGCGAAAAAATAGTTTGCGCCATCATTTCCGCCAGCACTCAAGTCGCACAGCAGCACTTCTGAGTGTATTTATCAAGAGTCAGTCGATAATAGCACCGCACGCACGCACTAGTTAATGCTTACATGAGCCGAGCTGCTATCCCTGGTCTGCTTTCTCCCTTTCTCTACTTCTCGTCGTAATTGTACGGGTCCACATCACCATGAGGCGCTAGTATCTCGGCTGGCAGCGTCTCACCGTCCGGGAGGGTAAAAGTTGGATACGGAAGCGGAACCTCTGGCTTCTTCTTGCGGGCATCCGTCACACGGACGATCCCGCCATTGTTCCCGGGGACACTGCCTTTGACATAAAGGAGATTGCGGTCCACGTCGATCTTGGCAATCCAGAGATTATCGCGCGTGACGCGATTGCCACCCATGCGGCCAGGCATTTTCTTGCCTTTAAACACTTTTCCAGGATCTTGACATTGACCAGTTGATCCCATGTGGCGATGCGTCTTGGAGTTCCCGTGCGACGCTGGCTGACCTGCAAAATTGTGCAGCTTCATGACACCTTGGAAGCCTTTGCCCTTGCTAATGCCGCACACGTCCACGTACTGACCAGCTGCAAAGTGGAGTGCAGACAGTTTCATTCCCAATGGCAGCAGCGCGTCTTCTGACACGCGAAACTCCTGTAATTGACGCTTAGCTGGCGCACCGGCTTTGGCCAGGTGACCCAGCACGGGCTTGCTCACGTTCTTGGGCTTGCGGAGACCTACACCCAATTGCAAGGCACTGAACCCATGGCGGTCCACAGTCTTCACTTGCGTCACTTGACACTCTTCGACGTGCAGTACCGTGCAGTTGTGACGGTAGCCAAAATGGTCCCAGACGGGCATCATCCCTATCTTAACGGCCAGTACACCCGTGCGCTTCTTCTTTGCGTCGGGCGACCAGTCAGCAGCAACAGCAGTTGCGTCAGTAGCTGCTCTTGCAGTTGTGGCAGCTGTCGATAGGGACGACGTCTGCAGTAGGCGCTGGCTCTTGCCGCGCACGAGCGCCGTCGATACGCGCCACATATTCAATGAAAAGCTCCGGAGCCACCAAACGAATCACGATTCAGTCGGCTCGCTATCGACGACCGGTTTAAGGTTCTCTAATTGATTGAAAGGAGTTGGAGTCCTCAGCACCATCAGCGGCTCGATCAAACGTCCGTGTGACGTCTTTTTTGTAGCTCGTCCTACAAAACATGAACGCTTTGTGAGACAAAGAGCTGCGACCATCGCAAAAGCTGATGAAACATTACAAACAATTCTAAAAGCAGGTGTCCATGGACCATGCGAATCGATGTGTACCACGCAAATTGTAGACGTGGAAGAGTCGTGTCTGCTTTCGACCAATGAGATCAGCGAACGATGGACACGCACAGCCTTGTCCTCATTTGCACACGATGCTGCTGCGCTACTGGCTCGCAGCGCTGTTGCTCTGCGTGCGCTACCCGTCCGCGGCGCTATTGCTGCTCCACTTGACGTGGCACATAACCTCGAGGCTGCTGCAAGTGCTGATGCTATTTGTAGGTGGCGGCACGTTCTGGTGGGTGCTGCGCTCGTACCAATTGCAAAAAGAACAGGAGCTTTTGGACCATGCGGTGCTCAAGTTCAAGTTCTGTCGGAAGTACCACCACCGAAGTAGCAGCAATGGTAGGAGAGACGACGAAAGTGCTCACCAGCTACGTGGGCGTAAGCGCCTGTCTGTCGTTGCGCACCTGCGCTCGTCTTGGCACTTACCGTCGGAGCTCTGCGATGCTGTTGCAGCACTCGTACAGTTGATTGTCCAGAACTACGTCGATGGCTGGTTTCAAGCGGTTTCTCTGGATCAAGACTTTTCTAATGATGTCAAGCTGTTGCTTGCTGATTTACTGGGCGCCCTCGCATCTCGAGTGCTAGAGATTGATTCGTCCCAGGCACTGACGATCTTTGCAAAGAGTCTCGAGCTCCTGAGGCTGCATCTTGGCTGGTTCCGGGAAGTCTATGCACATTTGGCGGACGAGTATCCAGCTGTATTTGAAGGCGACGAAAACGACGTGAATCTACTCAAGAGGCAAATGTACGTGGCAGCATTTGTACGGAAATCGTCCTTTGTTCATCCAGGCTGCGTCAACTCGGAGGTTGTCCCGTCGGAATCTATGCTTGGCCAAGGTTGTAGTGACAAGAAGAAGGCTGGAAACGATGCAGCAGATGCGTACCTTCGGCATGTAGCGACGCAACTGCTTGCTTACTTGAAGCCTCAGTTGGGTCAAGAGCAAGACACAAATGTGTTTGTGTCCATGGCCATTAATTTGCTGCGTGAAGTAGCGGTTTTTAAAATCCTCAAACCGCTGTCAGAATACTCACAACCGCGGTACGCCAACGAGATCGTGGTATCTTGCCTCCGTGAGGTCGTTGACGAGAAAGTTGCGATGGTGTCAAAGTCGCCAGGCATGGTCTCATTGGGGAACGGTGTTGGAAAGGTGCCAACCGTGACGCTGAAAAAACTTCGGTCGACGTCTAGTAGCCTGTATAAAGCCAGCAGGCGCAGTGGGGAGCATGCCGAAGCAGCCTTTCAAGCAGTCGTAGAGGCTGTGGCAAGTGCAGCGTCCTCAGTTGCTGCAGGCGCTGCGGAGATGGTATTTGAAGGAGAAGACTGGACTGATTTAGGGAGCAATTCATTTGCGTTTGGCAATGCTGTGTTTGGTACTAGCTCAAGAGGTGAAATTGGTGATAGGAAAACAGTGTCGTCAAGGTATGGATTGGACGACCGCCTAAGTGTTGCTAAGACTGCAAAAATGATGAATCCTCGTGGATTGATTCCAGGTGGACTTTTGTCGCACAAGATGGTGATGAGTGAGAACAGTCGTATAGGTGCTCACATGGATGACCTCATGATGAATGCAAGGTCCAACATCGGTTCGAGCTTAAACTCGTCGATCGGCAAAGTCAAGAAGCGCTTCCGCACCCTCGGCAATCATCCGATGGATCCTCTGTCCACACCACCGCTCAGCGCGGGCGCGGGGACGGGGACGGCAGCTCGAATGATTCGCAAGCCAGGACAGCTACTTCATAAGGCTTGGAAACGAAGCGAGTCGGCTACTAGCATGCGGAGCTCTTCATTTGATAGCGACACATTGACGCCCACAGGCCAAACTCGAGTTCGTAGTCGCACCCGTACCTTGGGCTCGCTCAATCCTCTCGAAAGTCCGATTTGTAATGACGAAGAGATGGCAGCGACACAAACATCGAGCAGAGGTACATGTATGGTCGCTGTGCGGGAGCGTGTTGTCACCTACTTGGAAAAGGCAGTGGCGGATTACACAAAAACGCACGACGAGTGTAGCGAAACGCGCAGCTCAGTGCACTCACGCGAGCTGTACGACCTTCTCTCCGCCATGGAAAACGTGCTAATGCTAGGCTACCGCGGTCATGATTCAGACGACGAAGGTGACGACGAACAGCCATCAACTCCCCCGCTATCCCCAATCGTTCGGCGGCGCTCTTCTGTAGTGTCGACAAACGATAAGGCGACGTCTTCGCATCGCGACAGCGTGGATACGGATAGATGCTACTATTCGGATGAAGAACAGCATGACGATCAGTACTACTGGGAGTTTCTTGCGCGGGACAGGTCAGGTGCGGGAATGCTTAACGCGCATTGGCGGTCTGTGGTGTCCGATTGTCAAGCTTGTATCCCGACTGAGTCATTCATATCTACCCGTGGAGCTCAATGGCTACTAGCTGCGATCGCAAAAGGGTCCCTGGGCACTTTGTGTGCGGAGCTGTATGCACATAGCGAAGTGACGGAGTTATTTTATGAAGACTTCGCGCTACTACTTGACAGGAGTCTCACTGATTCCATACTGCATACTCTGCATCAGCTCGACAGACTAGATGTTTCGCTGGATGTGTATGCTGTTCGGGGTAATCAAAGTGACGTAGACCAAGAGCTTGGTGTTTCGCCTCCCCACCAGTGGCAATCTGGACACGAAGCATCATCAAGTGCCCCTGTTTGTGTGTTGGAACGAGTGTGGGAGACTGAGCGCTACGTTCCCATAAACGGATGGGTGAAAGTGACAGATAAGCGGCGGCAGGAACTCCCGTCATCGGAATGGGTTTGGGAAGACGACTGGAGGCTTGATGATTCTGGAAATAGTTTGGGGGAAGTTCCAGACAGCAAGGCGACAGCTACCACGTGGCAATATGCAAAAACCTTCGAAGATGATTTTCACGATACGGAAATGGAGTTGGATTGTGTACGGCGGCGGCGGTGGGTACGCCGGCGACGTCAGCATCCAGCAGGTATACCTCCGTCCTCACTGCAGGTATCCCCAAAGACTATCTGTATGTCTTCTCCTCTAGCATCTTTCGCTGTTTCGAATGGAGTCGATAAAGCAAAAAAGCACGAGCAGCGGTGTAATGCGTCGAGTCGTGAGCACAAGAAAAATGGAGGAGTAAAGTCCGTGATGGAAAGTCGATTGAAAAGCTTTGGTCGAGTAATGGCTGATACTTCGACGAGACATGCGACATTGGGAATGACCGATTTGGATGATTTACAGCGCGCATCGACAAAAACCTTGGCTTTCATGAAAGCCCGCGCGTCCATCCCTTCGTTGCGGCGCGGAATTTCTAGCATGAGCATGAAGTCCCCGACTAGCGATACTCACTCTTTTCGAGCGAAACAGTCGATTGACGAGAACCTAGCGGTTTTGTGTGACGAAGACAGAAACGATGGTGAGACTTTCTGCAGCCGCTGCCTTTCAGCTCTTCCGCGCTGTGAGTCGAGCGAGTACACTTGCGAGAGCTGCCACGAACGTGTATGCGCTTCGTGTCTAGCTTTCCATGCATTCGTCGTCTATCCCCCGCCTCTCGGAACCTCGAAGAAAGCACGAGTGTGTGGAATCTGCTACGGCCGTCTAGTGAGCAAATATAAGCTGCGGCTGGAAGCCCACGTCGGCAAGTACTTGACCAAGGAGTGCGACCCCGAGACGCACGGTATGTTTGGCTTGAGTACTGTTACTGGCTTCGCCGACGGAGATGGTAGCAACGATATTTCTTACCATTCGGTTTCTTCTATTGGTGATGGTGGCACTTCAGAAGGCACCTGCAGTTCCTTAGCAACGAGACAGGCATCCTGCCCTTTGGGCCCGGCTGTTGGTCAAGACGGTCAGAATTTTGAGATCACTGTCCAGGTCAACGGTGACAGTGCGTATGCATGGCATGTAGTCAGGACCTTCCACGATTTTGAGGTGCTGGAGAAACAGTTGGCTGAAAAGCTTGAGAAGCAAGAGAAGAAGTACGGGATGGGATGTCAGGCGTGTCATTTGAGCGGTGTCGATTACAGTGAGATTTCTTGTATCAACCCGTCCCTCAATGCTGTTGCGGTGACAGCTTTGACCTACGAGAAAAAGTTGTACATTGTCGAGCACTTCTTGCAGCAAGTGTTGGCGTGCGATACACTGTGTCAAAGCTCGGTTTTGCAACAGTTTCTCCTGCTTCCTGCCGCACTTCGCATGACCTGCGCGACTGGTAACCCATCGTTGTCCATACAGGAGACTGATACGTTTAAGCGCGTCAGTAGATTGACCGATGGAAATCGAACTTCTCCGTCAGCAGCGTCTTCTACTGAGGATAGCGCGATTGACAACACAGCTGGAAGGCGGGGCGAGGTCGACCGTGCTGAGGGTATGTCGGATGGAGCTGGCAAATGGCAAAAAGAGCGATGGGTAGCGGCGGATGGAGACTCGAAGGAGACCAAGATGCGTGTTTTGCAAAAGATTGAAGTGAGTCTCTTCGCTGTGCTGGGCGAGGTATTCGAGTTCGACGGCATCGGCGTGGTGCGCCGTCAGATCTTCTCGATGACGCGGTCATTCATCAAGGCTTTCCTTGGTGCCTCACACTTTCGAATGCTAGAGCGGCAGCTTCTGTCTTTCACGGACCCAACGAAACTTGCAGGCTGGATAAATGACTTGCGGCTGTACATTTTCCCTGATCCTGGCAGTGCCGATGTCGTTCCGTGTCCAGCTCCCGACATGCAAGTCCTACGCAAAGAATGTCTCGAAGCGATCCTCGCCAGCTTTCCTTCCAAAGTGCTATCACTTTTCGGCGACACTGCATGCGAGAACGCATCGCTCAAGCTGCACGAGTTCTTGCAGCACGAGGTTTTTGTGAAGAATCTGCTCTTTAGTATCACGGACGAGCTGCTGTTGCACCTGTTCCCGGACTCGACCACATTCAAGGGCATGGACACACCAAACGAGATACCAGCAGCACCGATGCCCGCGTGTTCCTCTGCAGCAGAAGTCGCTACTACCATCTCTAAAGAAGCCGTTGCCGCGTCGATCATCGACGGCACAGTGAGCTGAGCCACATCACTTTCGACCCCAAGTGCACGATCAGCCAGCCAGCTACAGCAGCTCAAGGTCGTCAGCTGAAAGAATGTGAAACGGGCTTTGGAAAGAATAAACATGACTATGTTGATGAATGCGACACGACGGCCGCAGCCGTTGGACGTTTGCGTTTCGTACTGCCCTCCTCCTGATCATTGATCGAGCGCTCCAGTGCTGCTAGCTTCTGTGCCACACGGCTCTTCTTTTTCGTGCGCGCGTGCTGGTTGATCTCCTTGAGACGCTCCTTCCCATGTGCCTTGACATCGGCCAGAGCCAATTGGGTACCGGCCTGCAGCACGCGGCTAGCCATGATGTTCTCAAGGTTCTGGTTAATGAAGCCTGTGATGGCTTTGCTGCCGTGGTTCTTCATGCCGCTGCAGCCTCGACGGATCTCCGTTGTCGGGTCTGCATAGGATGCATGCATAACAGGGAGATTTAACCCAAATAATCGAGTTTTGCAAGGCAGAATAGGAGCCACATCGGGTGTGAAGACGTACTGCCTTTCTTGGTGAACTTCGCTGCCGACTTCTTGTGCGAGTAACTCACGGCCTTCTTGGATGGCTTCGAGCCGCTGTTCTTGATGGCCTTCTTGCCCTTCTTCAGGTACCCGCTGCCTTGCGCCATTTTACCACTTGGCTCGGTCACTGTTGACCAGTCACGATTTGTTCGAGATGGACTATTTCTTTTACTGACATGTCGTATTCCCATACTTGGACGAAGTATGTTGCGTCGGACGAGATAAAGTTGCTGAATTAGGCTTAACATCTGATGCAAATGTCGCGAACAAACTCGAGCGAGTTTTTACGAGATTCGTGTTCATCATCTGATCTGGTCTGCAGTATTTGGGAGATTGACAGCGCTGTCACGAACGGGACTTGTTTTGACTTTTGGCAACTGCCAAGAGCGAGTTGAGGTGGGAGAGCTTAGAAGAAGGTAAAATGGAAAGTGAATTATCATCTAGCTAGGTCCTTAGTTCGTCTCGTTGTACTACTCTAAGCCTATCGATATCGACTCTATAATATTAGTAACAAAACGATGAGTCGATCCCATCGTTACACACTATCACACAGTGTCGTCCATGACATATGGTCATTAGTATCAGTAACCAACACCATTACCAATACTCCCCCTCGACTAGAAGTCTCTGATCCTGGCCTTGTCCAGCAGCGACTCGAACTTCTTTGTCGAAATCGGTTTGGTCAGAAAATCTGCCAGCTGTGACTTGGTTTCAGTATACTGCAGGTCGATAATCTTGTCTTTCACCTGTTCGCGCACAAAATGGTATCTGATGTCGATATGTTTCGCTCGACTTTGATAGCCGTCGTTCTTAGCGATAGCGATTGCACTCTGGTTGTCTTCGTGAATCTTGACAGCATAGTTAATCTGCACTTGCATCTCCTTGAGTAGACTTCTTGTCCACAGAACCTCCTGCACACATAAAGAAAGAGCCATATACTCTGCTTCTGCCGTGCTCAGTGCCACGCTCTGCTGCATCTTCGACTTGAAAATCACAGGTGCGCCATTAATCATGACAAAAACTCCCGAAATCGATCTGCGATTCCACTTGTTACTTGCCCAGTCTGCATCGGTGTACGCGCTCAGCTGAAGATTGCCTGAAACTCCTTCATAACAAATTCCTTTGCTCTGCGTCGTCTTCAGATATCGCAACACTCGAATCGCTGCATTCCAGTGCTCTTCATGTGGAAATTCCAAATGACGACTCAGCTGACATACTGTATACGCAATATCTGGTCGTGTGCCTGTTGCCACATACAACAACGACCCCACTAACGATCGATACGGTCGATTCTTCATTCTTGTGTCAGCTTTGTCCATCTTGACCATCGCTTGCCCTTCAACACTTGGATTTGACACTGCTTTCGCATCAACTTGATTAAATTTCTCGACCATTCTTGATATACACGATCCTTGACTGATCTTCAGACGTCGATTGTTGCGCAGGTACTTGACTTCGATTCCAAGAACGTATCGAACACCCCCTAGTATCTTCAACTGGAAACGACTTGATAGTTGAGCTGCCACATCTTCCATCACTCCAGTAGATTCAGCCCCAATTAGAAGGTCGTCCACATATAATGCAGCGTAAATCCACGAGCCCTTGGTCTCTTTGACGAAAATGCATGAGTCTGCCACGCATGAAGAGAACCCCATCTCCACAAACACACACGAAATTGTCTTGTACCATGTAGCGGCCGCTTGTTTCAGCCCATACAGACTGCGATTCAGCTTAAGCACTTGATTATGTTCTGCACGAACACCCAGAGGAGGGTATACGTATACCTCTTCTTCCAAAACGCCATACAGAAAAGCAGTGTCGACATCATATTGATGAATCAACATCCCCTTTGACAGCACACCGCCAAAAACACCCGTATTGAGTTGAGGTTTGCCACAGGTGAATATGTCTCCATGTAGTCAACTCCATACGTCTGCCTGTAGCCAAGTGCTACAAGACGTGCCTTGTATCGAATAATCTCATCCAGCTCGTTTCGTTTGAGTGCGAACACCCACTTGGTTCCAATCACTTTCTGGTTTGGACGCTGTGTTTGAACAGTCCAGGTGTCCTTTTCCTCTAATGCCTTGAGCTCAGCTTGAATGGCCTTGTACCAATTATCACGACGAGGTGACTTAAGAGCTTCTTCGTATGTCGTTGGGGTCTCGAACGCTGCACATGCTTGCTCATACCCAATACGTAGTCTCTTTGTGCCTTTTTCTTGACACACTTCTGAGCCGTCATAAAAGTCCTCATCAGCACCATTCACTGGTATTAACGCTTGAGATTGTCCATGTTGAACCGATTCTAGTGGAACCATCGCGGTTTCTTGCGATGCTTGAATACTTGTCTGTCGACTTGGTCGTATCACCATCTGTCCTTGTCTTGACACTTCTTCAGCCGATTCTTGATCTTCTTCAATCATCGTCACATCATCAATTTCAAACATTGGATCGTCAGCATTGGAACCCACGTGTTCAGGCATCTTGCTACTGCATCTTGATGGTAGAGCCATCGTTGTTGTACGCCTGTCTTGCATGTGACTCTCTTCTTGAACACTGTGACTGTCCTCCATTGCTATATCCATGTCTTTCGTGACTCGTGGCTGTTCTAAATCGATAGAAACAGTGTCTTTGTCATGAACAGCGCGAAACTCTTGGTCACTTGATCTGCTGTAATGTTGCACGTACTGAAGTGGTGGTCTCTCATCGAATTTAGCCGATCTCGTGTGCGTCACCCTCTTGGCATCTTCATCCCATATTCGAAGCCCCTTGATTTGATCCGAGTAACCTAGAAAAATACATCGAATCGCCTTCTTGGTCATCTTGGTCCTGTTCGACTTGTCGACATGTGCATATCCCTTTGATCCAAATACACACATCTCGGAGAGGTCAGGCTTCTTCCCGAAGATGAACTCAAATGGAGTTTTAGTCGGGTGACTAGCACATGGAACTCGGTTTGTCACATAGACTGCCGTGTTCATCGCCTCAGCCCACCAAATTTTATCCACTTGCATATGGCTGAGCATTGCTCTGGCCCGCTCTGTCAGTGTCCTGTTCATGCTTCGGCCAGCCCATTCTGTTGTGGCGAATAGGTACCGTCGTCTGATGCATGATACCAGATTTTCGACATACACGGAGAAACTCTGTTGACGTATTCCGTCCCGTTGTCCGTCCTGATACACTTGATCTTCTTGGACAGTTGATTCTCCATATCCTTATACTCTATAAAGCGATCCGTCACTTCCGACTTGTTCTCAATATAGTATGCACTATATATCTCGAATAATCATCAATAAAAGTCACGACAAATCTTGATCCTCCTCGAGACTTCGATTCCATAGGTCCCATGACATCACTGTGACCAACTGCAACACTTCCTTGGTTTCACGTGTCCGTATGGTGACTTCGAAACGTCTTGACGGTTGCTTTACCCATGATGCACCCTTCGCAGATCTCGATATCATCTTCAACGCCTTGATTCTTCTTGATCTTTAATCCATTGACGCAACCTGCCATACCCTTGAGCATCTTCGTTGACAGGTGACCTAATCTTGCATGCCACACTTGTAGATCAGCCGCTCCTGATCCGTCACCTGATTCTTGCTCTTGAGATGTCTCTTCGCAAACGTTGGCTACCTCAGCCGGACTGCACTCTAAGACGTACATCTTGTTTCGTCTTGGTATTTGGGCAACGACTTCCGTGTTACTTCTGATCTGACAGCTCAGATCTGAGAAGATCACTTGTAGACCCCTCTTTGACAATGCCGATATTGACAGTAGCCTTCGGTCTAGGCCCGGCACCCATAGCGTTTCTTCGATCCTGATCACTTCACCAGTCTTGAGTTGCACGCGCACTGTCCCAACACCTTGCGCTTCCACTTCCTGCCGTCTGCTATGGTGATCATGATCGGGTCCGTCAGTGAGTTTAAATTCGAAAACTCATTTCTGTCGGGACACATGTGGCTGCTCCCCACTGTCCAATAACCATCAGCTGACGTCCGACTTGACGCAGTAAATGCTCTCTCTTCTCCAGATCGCTCTGTCTCCACTTTTCAGCCTTGCAATCTTGACGCTTGTGCCCATATTTGTTACATCGGTAACACCTTCCGAGAACTTTTCACCTCTTGAACTTGATCTCCCCATATGTCTGCGCGGACCTTTCTTGTACTTGGAAGTGTGCGTACTTTTCAGTGCGATTTCTTGGTGTTCTGTCCTCGCCATTCCATCGTACTCCCGTCTCAGCATTTCCTTAGCGTGAAACAGTGTCATTCCGGGCATGTTCTCAATTATCTTGACGATGGGGTCATAGTCTCTCGTTAGACTACCCAATAGGATGACCAAATGCTCATCCTGTGAGATCTCTTGTCCCACAGCTTGCATAGTCATGCACAGCTCGTCAAATCTCAGGAAGTGATCCATGATGCTTCCTCCCTTGGCCAACTTGAACTCATGTAGTTGCCGCCGCAACTGCACACGATTGTGCATACTTTGCCGCAGGAAGAAAGTCTTCAGTATGTCCCATGCTTTTGCCGTTGTCTCTGCTGTGCCACCATTGACTGAAGATTTGTGCTGATCATTGTGGACACAATCGCGAAGGCCTTCATGTCGTTGACTTTCCAAGTTGACGCGCTTGCGTCTCCTTCTTCTGGGGCCTTCATAGCGTCTAGGTGCTCTAGCAATCCCTTCTTTGCCAGCCTCATCCTTGCGTTGAACTCCCACACGAAGTAGTTATCTTCGCGGAGTATGTCGCCCGCATCCGGCGTAGTTGGGCTCATAACCTTTGACTTTTGGCAACTGCCAAGAGCGAGTTGAGGTGGGAGAGCTTAGAAGAAGGTAAAATGGAAAGTGAATTATCATCTAGCTAGGTCCTTAGTTCGTCTCGTTGTACTACTCTAAGCCTATCGATATCGACTCTATAATATTAGTAACAAAACGATGAGTCGATCCCATCGTTACACACTATCACACAGTGTCGTCCATGACATATGGTCATTAGTATCAGTAACCAACACCATTACCAATAACTTGCCGGTACTTTGCGCACAGCAGTAACCCCGATCAAGTCTTAGGCTTCGCTGTGTCCATCTTCCTACCTTTCCAGGCTTGATTTGATCTCTCGATTAGCCCCCAACAAGGCTAACGAAATGCGATGGTGCGAAAGCTCCTGGTCAGGATGTCAAAAGCCGCCTACATTTTTGGGTGGCGACTCGATCGCACTGATCGAAAGAATGTGTAGCAGATCCTGCTGTCGGGCGACTTCCTTCACATTCACGCGCAACGGCGCCATTGTCTTGAAGTTGCAACGACTGAATCTTTGGATGCAATGCGAACTGCCTGAGACTGGGGATCAAGTTGCCGCCATGGCATCAGCGATATGGTTTGCGCGAAGTGCAAGGACAAGCAGGAGAGACACTCAGTTCTTGGCTACAGCATTCGGATGTTTTCTTTCGCCAACTTGATGGAAGCGTTTACATGAGAGGAAGGCGTACGCTGGTCATTACCAGCTAGTATCGTGTTCTTAGATGTCAGTAAAGTACCTTAGTCAACTGAACAGTCAGGTTGAAGGACCTGGTGATTGTACATCACCCATCACATGCAGTGAACATGGATGTAGAAGGTCGTCAGAGCAACTTTGTGCCCTAATGCAAGCGCAGTCGACCAACCTGAGACTTGCATTGCCAGGGCAACGGATTGTAGCGTGGACATTCCATCAGCAGCAATGATGACTCATAAAGTCGCCGTTTGCGCGGCATGCTCGAGTCAGAGCTCCACCCACGTCCACCCCAGCCGTAGAGATGCACGAGATGAGGGACGAAGGTGTGACTGACATGACGGGAAATCTTGGAAATGACCCTGGCAAACGACTTGCGCAAAATAGACCGGACGACCATGTCATACCCGTCGCGAGCTTTCGAAAGCAAGCAAGAAATGTCACGAGTATGTAGAACCAGGAGACAACATTTAACTTCCATGTAAGTCTAGCTTCTATTCGTGTTGATGGAAGCGAGCGATGTTGTAATGTACACCATCGTGGCAAGCCAATGATTCATCGTACTGGGTAAATACAGCGCATGGAATCACAAGGTCAAGACACTGGCGACGTAACCATTCCAATTGCATCCAGAAGATGAAGACATTCAAAAGCTAAACCTTAGAGCTTCCTTACCCACTCTAGTTAACATGACCATGATTGGAAGGAACTGCCTTACGCCAGCTTTGTGTCGTCGTATCAGTAGAGCACCGGGACAGCTCGAGAAGCTCCGGGGATATGCGGGATGGAAATGGAATCGACACGGTAGTGAACAACTACAACATCATCATTGGGTAAATGCAAGATATGACTACGTCGAACAAGGTTCAAGAAAAATGGCACCATTGGCAAACTCGATACATCAATGTAGCCGGCCCCGCGCCAACGACGACCCGAAGTGGTGATGGATCCCAAAGTCCCTGTCACGTCTGTAAACTTGACGTGCCTTACTATACTACAGCCCTCATCACGGGTCTTCACAAACTGTCATTTGATTGACCCTCTACTTCCGTCGTCGTAAAATTCTGCTCGAGTCCTCGACCATCAGTCGCGTCAGGTCGTAGCGTTACCTCTTAACATCGCAAAGACTCCCACCCAAACACCGGAATCAGTTCGCTCGTCCATTGATACAAACGCGCCTCGCTTGCTGTCCTTCCCAGTTCATCTTCTCGAGTGCACTTCAGAATCGACTCTGTAGATACGTCCATTTATTGCCTTGAGCTGGGAGTCAAACATGAAGGTCTTGTCCACTATCGCTGTCACGGCTGCTGTGGTCAAGACCGTCTGTGCTCAATCACCGCTGTCGTTGACCTCGACCACTAGTAACGTGACGTCGTCAAGTCCTTCGACCTCGACGAAATCCCAGCCGTCCTCCCGAACAAAGGCGTCGTCCAACAACTTGCCTGGGAGTGACTTTATGGCCTCATTGACCACTGACTCGTCAGTAGCCAAGTCGGATGCCTATCACATGATGCCTGTGCATGCAGTACATGTCCGAGTGCAGAGCGACATGCCCGTGTGGAATGACGAGCTCGGGCGCTTTGTGTCATCCTTCTATGACGATTCTAGCGAGGCGTACGTGGGTCTCATGGATACAGTGAACACCGCATCGGTGGAGGGTGCGCTCATGTATGTGCAGGCTGAAGGTATCAACTATGCCACCCGGTCGGAAGAAGATCGATGCAAGCGCAAGAATGAGATGGCCTACCTTGTCTTTTACGAGTACGCCATTGCACAGACAAACGAGACGCTAGCGCTGTACCAGGACACAGCTAGTCAGAATGAGTACGGTCCAATGTTGGCCATGGACTCGGGTCGCTGCACGCCCGACTCGACCACGTCGTCCGGTGATGAAGCTTTTCCTACGGCCTGCTACTACTTTAACGGTGAAGACGGCGAGCCAAACGTCGGTCCATTTGTAGGTGGCACGACAAAGGAGACGGACCCCCGTGCTCCGTATCCAAACAACGTCTGGTACTCGTTCCCACACACGTGTCCACTCAATGAATGGGGCGACAAGTCGACCGAGTGCCGCACGGGCACGCGCAAGGGACTTTGTGACCTTGGCGTTATGCCCGATGGCATCAGCTGTACGTTTGCGTACCGCGTGCTTGGGTTCATTTCGATTGATGACCTCGTGGGCATCACGTCTATGGAGAACAACAAGACAGGTGAGACGTATGCCGACTTTGCCGAGTTTTGTGAAGATGGCGGTGTGGAGTTTAGGGCCTCGGAGGCCGGCGAGTGGATTGAGAGCATTCCATTTTGGAAGAGCCCACAGGACGAAGAGACGAATGCCGAGCGCGCGGCAAAGCTCGTCGAAGCCTATTATAACCTGACGAATGGTCTAATCGAGACGTCCGGCCTAGACTCGAGTGTCATTGAACACATGCTGCCCCTGCCCACTCCCGAGGAGCTCGCGGTCGAGAACCCGGCGTGCTATCTCAATGTCGAGAAGTGCAACACGGAGGTTGGCTGCAAACGTGAGCTGTACGGTTCCACGTGCACAGTCTGTACGTCGACGTCGGATGGATGCGAGGCTCCACCGAGCGACTGGAAGTTTCCGTCTTTGGAGAAAGCAGTGGGCGAGAATGGCGGCACTGGAGATGTTTCGGGGAGCGGGTCGTCGACTAAGGACTCGGATTCGACGGACAATGGCGCTGCGATCAACGGTTTGTCCACCGTGCTCATGTCGACAATGCTGACTCTGGTCGTCATCCAGTTTGTCTAGATGCGGTTTACTACATACGAGCAGTAAACACATTCGTCATGCTGCTTACGGCATCGATGAAAAGGTAGACATGTCAATCATTTTTCTACGAATGACTTTGATAAGCTTGACGGCATTATCCTGTCCTTGAACACTGTGAAGATGATAAGTGCTTGCGTGTAGAGCAGCAAATGGCTGCAACGAAATCCGTCGCGCAAGCATAATGGTGCACACTTTGTTGGCTTTGTGCTACTTTGTTCTCAGAGAGCTTGCTTTCATCCACACTGAAAACAGTGGACATGATTTGTTCAGCTTACATGTAACGTGCAAATCAGAGCGCAATTCAAATGTCTCTACTGCCATCTAAGTCCATCGATAAACCACTAGGTGATACGGCACTTTGGAGGAAGATCAAGTGATTGATTTACTTGACGAATCACCACTGCATGTTAAATTCGTAGTTCAGCACACTACGCGACTGTGCAATCTTGTCGAATGTGGTTGTTAATGAAGGTGGATTATGAGCAACGTGCACCTTTACGCTCGCCTTGCTTGCAGCAAACTTTCCCTCGTCGAAACATTAAAAAACGATCGCTTGCAATATTAGCCACATGTACGCTTCTTGATGCTCACTTGTCTGCTCAATTCTTTCACGGCTCTTGAGTTTTTAGCTTGGCGTTCGCACTGAAGATGCCGAAATCCATGAACTCGACACATGTAATGACGCTCGACCAATAGTGCACCTAAGATCTTGCTAGTATCGATACGCTGCCGAAAAGCGTGTGCAGCTTTTTAGAGTGTCATCGGTGCACCTTGAGAAAATCGCGCTGAAGCGCCTATCATTTATTATCCCCAGACGATCTTGAGCGGAATGGATGTGAAAATGTGTTTACTCCATTATAATCTGCGTGACCGCACCTAAGCAGATGCTGTCTTTTTCTGTCTTTTGCAGATGTGTTCGATCAGCAGCGTTCATGACGTATCGGCCTACAATGCGTCAAAAAGACCATTTGTCTGCAAAAAAGGACGCAAATATGCGGGTAATCCTAGCAGTTTAACTCGTCTTTATTCTTGACAAATGCTGCAGGCGATGCGAGTACTACCAGGAATGCTTGGAAGAGCGACAAATTTAGCTTTAGCCCCCTCTGGCAGCGATGTCGGTACATCTGATGCAACACAGATCGACAAAGTACAGCGTGCTGGATCTTTCCAGGCGATATAAACGGTGGACCAGACCAGTAAGCGTGACAAGGTCCTGTGGACAAGCACAAGCACATTTTTATGCCTGGGGAACTTATAAGTCTGTAACTCGCGTACAAATTGCTTATAAGCAACTTCAGCCCATCACCATATCAGTTCGTCCCCAAGCTTTACCGCAAATATAGCATACGATAACGTGCACTGCTGATCTCTGGCAAGATCACGAATTCATCACTTATACAAGCACGCACGCGCATTTTCTCTGCAGTTTTTTCGCTGCTGTCTCTTCGCTTTTAGTGGCTCCATCTCACGATTCAAATTGATCGTACTATATCTACAGCATCGTTTCAACAACAGTGTCAAGGCATGTAGCTAGTCAAACTGACTATGAAGTTTGGTGCACAGCAGCTCTTCCGTGTAACGCATTGCCTCAAATCCATTTCTTCGACAAAAGGTGTGAAGCGTAGCCTCCTGTGTATGACACATCGCGGCTAGTTTCTAGTGTCTACACAGAACGAGAGTTGTGTAACGGACATCTGTTGTCACGGCCATCCACCACGACTTCCTCTCTGTCCCGTCGAATGCGTAATTCCTCGGTTAATCTATCACCCGTCTCCTTAGGCGGCTTAATCATGTCGATAATGTAACAGCAACAAAGTCGATGCACCCGACGCTAGGCATGAAACTTCCATATTCCATCGCTGACCATTACTGCAAACGCTGCTGGATGACCATAACTCGTCCTGCTGCTACTGCTGAAAGTCACATTTTCGACAATCGTCTCTTCATGACCAGAAGTCGCACCTACTGTTTTAGTCGCCACACGACTGCGGCATCGCCAGCCCAGGCATACCCATACCTCGAAACCAGGCACGAGAAGACCCCTACTCGAATACGCGTCCGTCATAGCATATAAGTCATGTGAATTTCTTTACAACATCTGGCTTTTCGTGTTTCGTCTCGCAGTGTAACTCACCACAGCGCCACTCTTCAGGCTGAGCACAGCATGAGGACATCTTGACTGTCCAAACAGGTAGCAGTCATCCCGTTTTTCTCGCGTCGTTCTCACGGGCGAGCATGCCCATCGCTGTGATGCCACCCAAACTCCTGTCAATCCAACAGGCAACTCGTTTGTGCACGACAGTTCGCACCGCCTTTCACAAAATCGCAACAATGACGTTGCACGTGACGCTCGCCTACTTTTGCAAGTCGCTGGATCTATCGCCGTTTAGCGCGCACAGCAGCTTCTAGTACGCTTTTGCTGCTGCTCGATGGTTCTGGTCCCTCACCATCAGTCACGAATGCTCCCTGTGGCTTGAGCCGTCACGAACGGTGAAGAAGTGGTGTTCATTTCTTCCACCAGTGCTTCTTCGCGCACTATCTGCGCTCAGGACTGACCGTACGAGAGCAGTGGTACATGCACATACCTTCGTCTGGAGATCATGTGTTCAGCAAGCAGTCCATCTCGTCAACTGGCGGCAAGGCGACGGCCTCGTCGTTCTGGCGCGTCACCTGGACGCCAAAGGCCGTTAAGACCGTCTGTCAATTGACTGGACTTACCGTTGGCTTTGTCTATTGACAATTGATAAGGATCGACTGGGCAGAGGATATGGGTCGTACGTGCCATGCAAGCGTTTGTACTCTGTCACGCAGACTGCTTGTGTCGCAAGGGCCCGTGGACTCGGACAAAAAGAACCTTGACAACACCATAGCTTCATGTCAAAGATAGTGAATGTAGTGATAAATGTGGGTAACTGATATCGACAAAGCTCGACGCTTAAATGATCACGGCCAAGTTATCTTGTGGTTGGCGAGGCTGTTTTACAAATGTGACTGCGAAGATCTGGCACGTCACCGATCACGAGATCGAGCGACATGTGTGAACGTGTTGCCTTTCGGTTGACGTACTGATTTCTCGCACGCTTTCAGTTCGTTATTATGGGGTTGCTAATCGCGTCGAATCCGCGTTGACGACAAGGGGCAACCTCAACTTCAACTTGTGCAGGTCCCGTCGATCGCGCGGTCCTGGGTCGAGAATTATTGCCTTTGTGTGGGTTTTTTTTCAAAATGTCGCAAATTTTCGACTTACCGCGTGAATTTTATACATATTCATGGTCCTATTCCTCGTGGCCGAGACGCTCCGGCTGCTGGATCTGTACAAGTCGCTGCGCGACGACCCGCGCAACGTGACGAACAAGGGGATCTTGCTGAAACAGCACGCGCGCGAGCAGCTGACGAGTGCGCTGAACGCGAGTTTCCCCCGGGAACAGCCGTGGACCGAGAGCCAAGTGGCCGTCAAGTTTAAGAACTTGCGCAGCGAGTACGTCGAGCTCAAGTGGCTCAGTAGTCAGCCAGGCTTCCATGACGACGGCGTGGGGCTCAGTGAAGAGTGGTGGAAGAACGTCAAGCGGCTTCGGCCCAAGGCCCACGCGTTCCGAGGCAAGCTGCCGTGGATCTTTGAGCCCAAGATGAAGGCCATTGTGGGGACTCAGGAGCCAAAACAAGATCATTCCGAAGCGTGGACGGCCGTGGAAGAGGAAGCCGAGGTGGATAACCAGCAGCTCCTGCAGTCCCAACTGCAACCGCAGGAAGGAGAGTCCAGCAAGGAGGTGGCTGATGTGGGCGAACTGACTGCAGTATCAAGTGGTGCAGAGCCAAGTGACGAGGGAGTCGTGGCACCTGTTCGTAAGGTGCCGCAGAAGCGACCGCGCGAGTCCGACTCGAGCAAGAACAGTGAAGAACGGGGAGTACTTCGGGCCCAGGATGACGACAGTGACTATGATCGGTCATTGGCCAGATCGGTGGAGCAGAGCTCGGTCGCAGCTGCTGGCATGGCGCGTGGCTTCCAGGACCTCACGTCGATGTTCCAGGAAGAAGCGGCTCGGTGTCGAGTGTTAGAGCAGCAGGTGGTGCGGGACACCAGGGAACTTTCGTTTCTAGTTGACCAGCGACACGTGCTGCTGGCTATTGCCAACTCGCTCGAGCACAGTACGCGCGCTACTGCCGATATGGCCAAGGGGTACCGCGAGCTCGTGAGCGCTTTTGTGCGGGGGAAGACAGACGCCGAGCGGCAGAAGCAGCCGGAAGTCGACGCTAGCGTCCAGCCGGTTACTACATAATGTTCATGGAGAAGGTCAGGGCACTCGCTTGATCAGGCAAGATGTCGTTGACGATTGCCGCAGTTGAATGCACTAGAGCGCAGAGACAAGGGGGCGATTGCCTTCGTCCCAACAGCCTCCAAGCAGCGCGACCAGTGGCTTGTGTTGCAGCGAGACGTAATATTGACAGAGACGAACGTCCGGTCTGCGGTCGATTTGAGGGTTCTTTTCGGCGGGGCTGCGTAGCTGCTGGCTGTTAGTTACCTGACTGCATCCTTGTGTCGTGAATCAGGTGCACAGGAAGGCACATCCGCTGATGGCCGAGACGGATGTTTTGAAAGGGTACATTCATGCCGATACAAAAGCCTGCTTGATCTTGCTCACACAGGCCCTTTTCGGCTGCTACGATGGATACCAGCTCTCTTTTTTCTTCTCTCTCTCTCTTTCGCTCAGCTACAGATAACGTTGATCTACTTACACAGACGGACGGACGGACGGACGTTTAGAGACTAGGCGGCATGAACTCAAAGCTCTTGCGAATGTTCATAGGGGTCATCGTGTACGGCGAGGCAGTCGCAGCTTGCAGTGGGTACAGGCACATGTACGGGTCGTTCGTCGGCGGCAACAAGCAGTCGATCCAGTCGAGCGGTTCGTTTTGCTCAGCACTGTCAGTTGCCGTCGAGTCGTAGCTCCTCGCTGCAGGGCAAGTAACAGCAGGTGCCATGAAGTTGAAGCCATTGTAACGTCGGCTCTGCTGCGCCTGGCGGACATCGTGCTGCTTCACTGTCAAGCTGGTGTCCAGTGAGGACGAGAAGGGGAGGCGACATCTAGCGTCATCTGGTACCAGCACGTACGGGGTGTCCGAGACCGGGTGCGGCGTCGACGACAGGACTGAAGAGCAGCACTCTTTCTTCCAATACGGCAGGACGGACGCTCTCGCTGCAGACGAGCGGTACTTGCTGAGCGACTGCGGGCTCAGCGACTTTTTCCGTGTGATCTGCCAGGCAAGTTCCGGCTGATCGCGCAGGAAAAAGTCGTTCGAAAACGTGCAGACAATGGCCTTGGACTTGGTCCATTTGCGGAAGCTGAAGTAGTTGAGCTGGCGCTGGAAGCTCGTGTACTTGCAGTGTTTAAAGTATTTCGGCAGCACGTGCGCCATCATCGCGTGCATGTCGTGGATCTCAAACGCCCTGCCGTCGGCCGTCCAACGCAAGACGGCAGCACTTTCCTCCTGGAGCATGCGGCGCAAGCTCTTGAGGAACGGCGCGACCTCACGAGGTGCGCCATCGACAGTACAGTCTTTGGAAGTGGAAGAAGGACTAGCAAGGTACTGCATGGTGAAACGCAGTGGGGATGTGGATGAGCTAGGCGACGCAAATTCAAACCTGAAGCGTTCCGGGAGAGAGGGGATTCTGCAGTGCGATTGCTCGCTTCGTGGTCAAGGAAGTGCTGGCGGGCTGGCTACTACTACTACTACTACCTTAGGATCATACTGACACACACTGCGCCACTCTGGCGTATGCTTCTTGGTCCATCCTTGCCACTGACTGAGTGACTGGCTGCCCGCCACTCAGTGGAGTTACACATGGATCTTCTGAGCTTGGTCCAGCACCGATTTCTCTGGAGACCGCCTCAACATGCGCACACCTCAACAGATGAGCCCTTGCTGGGTGCCCTGTCGCACCACATCTCTTCCTATTCAAAGCTTTGGCCGAGGATGGCGTCAAGTAAGCGAAGACCAGTGTACCACGTTTCTTCGGTTGCCGTCAACGTCGTGCTCTCCCTTTCGCCCGTTGTCAGGACCGCAGTTGCCCTGCCCAGCTTGCACGCGGTCATCATTGACCGCCCTTTCTGTTCGCTTCAACTAGTCGCTGTGTCATAGAAAAGCCGAATAGGTACGTCGCCATGTCAGCGTGTCAAGATTATACAGTACCGGAAGACGATCGTGTTCAATCTTCCTGACATCTGACCATCACCAGCTCGTCAAGCTTCCCAAGAACCGATCGATTCCTGACGTTGTCACCAGCAGCCATTAGTGTGCAAGCAGACAGAGGCGCCAAGCTCCTCGGGATCGCGCAGCGATGTTGACGAACAACACTATCGATCAAGCTGTTTTTTGGTCGTTTACAATCGACAACCATCAAGAGCCAGTCAAGTAGAGCCGCTGTGATCACTGGAGGCCACGAGAGGTCAGTCTACCGAAAAAGTGGTGCGCATTGTACCCTGTCCAAGAGAGGTGTTGAAGGCAACTTCAATAGTGCCCCCAGACTTGGCCATGCGACAAAAAGTGCAGTGCGCGGTCAAGGAAAAACCTACTGCAGGCACACTATCGACACCTACACCTACGCAGGGCACTCACTGACTTTGGGGCTGGCAACGGTGCCTTCACCAGATACACAATGCCAGACCTTTGCTTGGGTTTTGCTCTGCAGTGGCACCACTCAGCGCTTGTGACTTCGAGAAGCATTGGACGCTTTGTCCATGTTCAGTACCTTGCTGCTTACCTTACATTACTTTCCTGCTTCTGAGTATAGTCCAGCGTGTCCATACCGGGCTCTGGTCGTTCATCTGGCGGCTCATGTTGCTTCCTCCCTGATACCATTCCCCATTTCCTGGATTGTTCCGCTATCTTTGAGCTCTTCATGATGGCATAGAAATGGCATTTCCAGTGACCTGCTTCATTCGCCTTACAATCCCGTGCTCTATTATGTAGCACGATCCGCATCGCGAAGAACGTTCGTAATTAGATCCCTACGTGCTACACTGCACGCGGTGACTGACGTCGGCAGGATTAAACGTCAAAGCTTACCGATACATGTAACTGCAGCAATCGTACAATACTGTGGTTCACCTAAAGCAACGCCGTCCTTGCGGTTGAAGCTCATATAAACTCTGCAAAGGTTTGCAGCACGAGGCTCATTGTCTTGTTGACGAGGTGGCTTCAACGTCGTACGCTGACGCCCGCAGTTCTTCCTGCGACCTTTGATAACTATCGACATAACCCGCATGATCAATTCAGTATTTCGTGGTTCCAGATATGCCCCGCAACTGATGCTCGCTGCTGGGCCACATTGTTATCTTGACATGCTAGATAGCTACAGCGCGCGATTGATAGGCACTAGTTTTAGTATCAAAGACGCAAACAGTCAGGTTCGCCTCCTCATGCTTAGCTTGCACACTTCCGACTTAATAGTGCTCCTTTCGCTTGTGCTTCCAGTCTACAACCTGTTTGATGGCTGGGATAGTCGATCCCGACACCTTCATTGCAATCCGATCGTTTTCTTCCCCGTGTCTAACACTCTGTCACCTAAAATCGAACTCCGACGCTGATCTCGAGACATGCGGTCGATTGTACACATGTCAACGTGCACAAAAGGATGTGTCATCATTACCTTCCATTGTGCATCGACGGCCCTTGCCAATCCGGTTAGTTGTGTATCGGCGGTAGTAACGAAAGGGTGTCTACGTATACAACATGCCTGGGCTTCCCAATGTAACGAAAGGGTGTCTACGTGTACAACATGCCTGGGCTTCCCAATGTCTTGGTCAAGTCAAGTTAGCACACTGTTTCTCCTCCCGCATCCATCGGCCCACACCATTCTGGAAACTGTCCTTTTCCACGGTGTCGACCGTCGCCCGGGTCGAGACGCTGAAGCGTGAAAATGTTGGGCAACAAATGAGAAGTCCAAGCCTTGTTGATACTTACGGTGAAGACCTTATTGTTAATGTTCGGGTCGGTGCAGCAGTTTTGTAGCACTTTTTGCCTTGTCTTGGCAACACTGTGAAGACGGCACGGAGATTCCGACTGGAGAGCTTTGCTCTGAGTCCAGAGGTAGCTGTCAAAGGTGCATACGACGGTCTGACCATGTGGCGCCGAATGTCGGAAAAGTAAGCGTAAGGTTCTTGACAAACTCGTCTGTGATCGATGCAGACTTGATGATTACTTAACTTATATACAAAAACCTTAGGATTCTTCGGGGCATTATTCGACTGGGGCGACCATATTAAACGTGCATGCAATAAGGACATTGGAGGAAAAGAAGTTGTAAGACATCATAAAGCAAAGAGTCCCAATAGTTTGCGTCGATTTCATCGGTGGCAATTTAACAACTGCATCTTTGCCTTGGCATGGCTCGTATACCGTATACGCTGCGGCACCGGTGAAGCCTGCACAGAAGAATCGCCCGTGAACGTCTTCTGAAGAGATAGGACAAAGTTTAATGTATTTCGTCAGCTGGAGTGATGCCAGGCTCTTCCCACCAATTCTCGTAAATCTTCATCCATGACTTTTACAATACGCTTGCGAACAATCTCGAGCCAGGCATGGCCAACCGACATATCACTTTTGCTTCTGTCTCGCTGTCACGATGAGACAGCACGTCCGACGAACTCTCTCTCTCCCGAAGCAGAGCTAGGCAACCGTCGATGCTCAGCAAACAAGCTGCACCTGGTTATATGTTGACGCGTTCGCTTTGAGTAGTCGCCGAGACTCCCCGTCTCCCTCACCGTCGTCCAGCTCGTTCAGCAGCTCGTCTGTCACATCCATACTGAAACGCTTCCGCAACTGCGAGCTGTATACCCGCGGCATGTCACCCAGCGGCAGTAGTCCATGTGGTACCTGGAAGCACAAAGGTACCCAGCTGTGCTCAAAGAGGAAAAACACCATCGTCGATATGATAAATCCAAGCACCACATCAACCGTGTAGTGCTTGCGACCAGCAATGCATAGTACAGCCAACATCGTAAGATACGTCACGCCGCACGCCCACCGAATCTTCGAAAACGTGGGATTAGTGAAGCTGCGATCAAATGTTCGCAGATACAACAACACCGCCGAGTTCGTGTACGCCATGTGACCCGAGAAGATGAGGTCCCCGCATGAGTTATACTTGCCGTAAATAGGCCCGACACTCGTGACAATATCGATCCACGTGGTGGGCGGGTGATAATCCGGACTACCAGCGCGACAGTGCGGCGCCGGACCAGGCAGTGACGTTACGGAAACCGTCAGCATCCGCAGAAAGTAGCAGACCGTCGCCGTGCGAAAGAAGGACGAGACGATGCGACAGCGTTTCGGACGCGCTGTTGCACTTGTTTGCAGCAAGAACATGATGGGTACGACGGCCGTGAGGACGTCACTCACGGGGCGCCATTTCGAGTGCAGACTTTGCTCTGGAATGAGCATGAAGCCCAAATCCCTCAGTGGCGTCGTTGTCGGTTCGTGCAGGTAGAAAGCAATGTTGACCGAAACGATCATTGCGATCGACATGGCGACAAAGATCTCCGTGTGGTCCATCATTCCACGCAAATGGGCGTCCACTCGAGAGCGCACAAGACGTCGCACGTAGGAGAAAGTGCCCGCAAGGAGCAGCCAAATGCCTCCCCACGTCGCGCGGGAGTGGTGCTGGTCCGGATCAATAACAAACTTGAAGAACGTGACCCAGACCATGACGCCAAGGCCCACGTCGGCCAAGATGAAGAGCGTGAAGAGCGCAAAGCCCGCGACCTCGCGGTAATCCACCGACTCGCACCAGTGGCTCAGACTCCGACCGCCTGCTCCAGCGTCTCCGTTGATATCATCGATCTCGGGCCACAGGACCGGGTCGTTCGTGTCCAATGGCGTCCAGGAACCAACAGGACCCGACATTTTCCGCTTTGTACGGAGTGGATTCGACTGCGTGAAGGGCAGATACGACGTCATTTCAATGCGCTTTTGCAGTGAAGGAGTCCTCACTACAGTCAAGAGACCGTGGGCAGGCGGGTGGGTCAGTCGCGGCGCTTTGAGCGGCGCGGGAGACGAGAAGAGGCCGGCGACTCGGCCGTTAAGTGCTGACTGAAGAGCTACTTGTCGGGGATCGAATGGTCGGAATGCCGAGTAGCCATTGGACGAAATACTGTGCAGCCAATTGCAAGCGGCAGCGGTTAGACTCGCTCGACAGGCGGTGTGTCGACTGTTGCTAGTGTATACTGTGATAACTGCGGATAGGGTTAGCAGTGGCGTGTGCAGCGAAACAGGTGTTGACAGCGGTCGATACTCTTGGCACCTCTGGACTTGCGGTTTTGGTCGACTGGCTGGTTGTGTGGAATAGGATGCCACCAATAACGTACATGCATTTTTACACTTCAATGAGGGCTACTTTCATGTCATGCCTGTCCTCTTGGACGTATACACGATCCTGCTACTACCGCAATCGATAGACCGGCCTCATCTTGCGAGGATCGTAGACTGACGACACGAGACTTGGTGCTGACGGTTGCTGCTACCAAGTGCAGTAGACTTCCTCAACTCTTGCAAAGGTCGTTGGTTCGAGGGTACTGCACTGCTCAGAGCACGTGACCGATGCTGAATGACAGTCGGCAGGTTGCTACTCGAAAAGTATACATGGAGCAGGTATACTTCGTAGTGGGCGAGACACTCGACTCTTCGAGCGTCTGAACCGGGCCGAGGACCGAGCACTGTCGTTCATTCGCGTGCACCACACCACAATAGGCAGCAAGCAGCAAAGAAGAAGTGAGGAATCCAGCAGTGGCCATGGCTCTGTCAGTACGTGCCAAGAACTTTATCCTGGGCGGCGGCCTCGCTACCTTCGCTTCCGCCATCTTCGGCTACACGTTCCATCAGATGGGCCAGGTACGCTTCCGCCCGTTTGTCGATGCAGGTTGCTTCCTTTGTCCTGAATTAGTGTGCCTTCTCACTATCGTATTCATGTTCTTTTCACATTGACAGGACGACTTTAAGGACCTGGACACCGTCAAGGTGAACGTGCACCAGAGCGGCATCAAACCGTCAGCTGTCGGCAAGCACGACGAGTAGACGTTACTGAATGCTCTCCGAGCAAAGAGCAGGAAACCAGCAGTCATGTGAAAGCACCTAGGTTTGCTTCTGGAAGAATAGGGTACAGCTGCGGGGTTTCGGCAAGCAGAGTACATCGGGACGCTATAAGCGAATGAATATGGGGTGATAAATGTGCATGCATCTGTGAGCAGCTGTTTGTACGGTATCTATTATGCTGGACAAGCTCTAAGTCGGGCTGTGGGGGCTACATTTATCCATCACATCGTACAGACTTATCGGAGACAGCTTTTTGCACCCTCGTGCTCTCAACCAGAAAGCCCAAAGTGTCGGTGTGCTTTACCGGAAAGCAGCAGTTCGCTGCGCAAGCACCTGACGCAGAAAAAAAGAGGTGGCAGCAATGCAGCAACCGAATCCGTCAGTGTACAAGAACTTCATTTCAAGCCAGTTATTCAAAGCCGGCATCGTACCTTTTCCAGGAGACGTTGCGACTTGGCAGGCGCTATGCTCTTGAGTTTGCGTAGGTTTTGAGCAGTACGGTCAGCCTGCTCGAGCTCACGACGGGCTGCTTCCAACACCTTCACCTTGGACCTGCCAGACACTTTCTTGCTTTGCTGTGCCTTAAGCTTCCTCCGAGCCTTCTTGGACATTCTAGAGCTCGAGGCCGGTGCCTTACTCTTTGCCGACGAGCGCTTGTTCGGCTTGCTCGCGTCTTCCTTTGTCGACGCGCAGTTCTGCAGGAAGAGCTTGGTTAAGCGGGCTGCCATCTTCCGGGCTTGCGAGCACCAGTCGTATTGCAAACTGATTAATTGTCGAAACTCATACCAGCTTTTATTTGTTATTGCGCACGGCTCCAGTCGACTGTACGTGATATTACTTGCGCCTGTAGCGTTAAAGTTGACCCAGGAGATCGCACACGCACACAATGAGACACGATAGAACTAAAATTCGCCTTTATTCTCCATTGCATTAAAACAAGCGACCACCACCGAGTATCCGTCTTGTTCGCCAACGTCAATAACCATGACCCCCTGCACTGCCAAGCTGGAAAGCCAATCGACAACCTTACAGACGGCCACCAGCACCCGCCATCGACTCCACGAGCTGGTCCTCCTCGCGAGCGACCTTCGCGCCCTTCTCTTCAGCACCGCCTTCGTGCAGCTCCATCAGACGCACCAGGTCAAACTTGGGTTTCTTGAGGATCTTGCACTTGCGGATGTACACGTTCTGGAGCGGGTAAATGCCTTGCGTCGCCTTCTCAATCTCCTTGCCAATGATCTCCGGGACGAACTTCAAAAACAGGTCCTTGATGTCGCACTTGGACGCCTCTTCCGTCATGATCGACGTCATCTTCTTACGAATGGCACGGATCTGAGCCGTCTTCGCGTACGTCGTCTTCTTGATCTGGTTTGGACGCTTCTTTGTGAAAGCAATGCAGAACAGACGAACCAGGTAGCCGTCCGTAGTCTTGACGTCCACGAAGGCCTCAATAAGCGTCTGCCACTTGCGGATCAGCGAGCACAGCTTGTCGCGGGTGAAGTCCATGCCGTGGAAACCAGTCACAATCTGGTTGCCCTGGATCTCTTCAGCACAGAGACGAATCTTGCGAAATGCCTGGTCCTCGTCCTTGTTTAGGTCAGCGAGGCAGACCTCGAACACACGACCACGAAGACCCTCCGACGCGATCTTGGTACCTGCTGTGCGGTTCACCAGAGTCTTGCCGCAGTTGCGCTCCGAGAAGATAGCCGGGGCCTTCACATCGTACCAGTCCTTACGCGTGAACGGGTCCACACTGTGAGTGCAAAACACCATCAATATATTAGCAATCCTTTCGTTGGGGTACCCACTGCATCTCACTAAATGACCAAACGACAACCACAAGCTACGTACACTTTCTTCTTGCCGCCCTTTTTGCCCTTTGTTAGGCGTTTGTTCTTCCCTGCAGCCCATTCGTCACACGACAAGTGAGGTGTTAGCAATTCGTTCCTGCTCTTGTCTCACTATCAAAATCCATTGGGTCAATGCGCATACCGTCGCCTCCTTCCTCTACCCTTGTCCCATTGTTACAGTATCCTCATCAAGAACGACCTATTGGTCACGAGATGAAAGGCGCTTTTCAAGTGCAGCTCGTCTTTCATTGTCTCTGCTGGCTACTACAGCCACTGCTCGGTTTACTGTAACTTTAGGGACGATTTTGCAAGGGATGCATAGGCGAAGGAAGCAACGAGGCGATTGATACCAACACAATATCTCTACACTTGCTGCATTGGCATGCATGACTTACCGACAGCCATGGTTGTCTTGAGCTTTTCCTAAAGGCGAATATGGAGCTGCTCGCTCGACTCAGTAGACAGCAATTGGGCGGCGAATGGCTGGTGCTGCGCCCACAGGCCACGAAACGTGCGGTTCACTGAACCGGTCCGAGTGACCTACCCCCTGACTGGGACGGTAGTACACTGTACCACTCGGATCTTCGATCCGATGCTTGTCAGCGACAGTATTACAGTCAGTCTAAGAGCTAAAGGTGTCTGTGACGGTGCACCATCATCGCCTGGTGCATCATGTAACGCGAATAAAAAACGATCGTAACTCAAGCCTGGGACACTAAGGCATAGCGATAGCTCTCCAAAACTTATAGTGTATTGATTTCGGTGCCGTGGCTATAGCCAAGACACTTGAAGTCACAGGCGGTCAAGCGGTTGGCTGATACGCTCTGTTCAAACCCAAGACAGCTCTTTACTATCGACACTTTACCTGGAGCTTTTATTATGAGACAGGGCTCTATTGATGGACCATGTTCGTCGAGACGCTGCTGCACATAGCATGGTAAATTGTGCGTCTGCATTTTACGAGACTTGACTCGCCCGGGCTGCTGGATCGAGTCATTTGAATGCACGCAAGCGGCCTTTTGTTCGGGATGAGTGTCAGCACATCCGCAAGTGACCCTGGTGCTAGTGATGGCTACCACCATGGCGCAGTATTGGCTCATGGCTCGCTGACCTCGAAGCTTTGAAGCAGCAGCTTGTGAGTAAGGGAACACAAGTGCTTCTGGATTGGAGCCAAGACAGGTCCTAGAGACAACAGCAGATGATCCGTCGACTTGGAACAAAGGAGACAGCACGAACCGTCTGCAGTGTGTCATTTATTTATACCGGTGCAGGATTCTTTCTACCTATCACGCCCACATGGTTATGACTCCCGCGCATCCTGTTGGGCTCGAATGACTTGCTGGACAAACTCATCGGAGAGCACAATTTTGTCTTGGGCGCTATTTTGAAGTTGCTGGAGGTACTGGACCGCATCAGCCGAGCTAGCAGTTGCTCCGCAATTCTCAAAACGCTCGTGCTCCTCCAGCTCTGCGCGGACATGCATGAGCAGGCGATTCAAGTACCGTCGGTGTGCTACGGAGGCTTGGTTCAGCACTAAACTCAGCTTGGACGGCTCAGGCGTATCACTTGGGGCGAGCGGGTTCAACGATAAGGCAGGGACAGCCTCCAGTGGCGAAGCACTTTGGGATATTGATGTTACTCCCTCCGGTGTCGCAGGTTGTCTAGCACTTTCGTCAGTTTCTGCCTCACCGCCGAGCTCGACAGCGTCCAGTGGCGAAGCCACTTGGACAATTTGATCCCTGTTTTCGATCTGCTGCTGCTGCTGATGTTCATGAAACTTGGACCCTGACATTGTCAGGAAAACTTGATGTGGCCGTGCGAAGACGCCGTGCTTTGGTTTACAACGGAAGTAGAACCTTCCTTTGACGCTGCCATCGTTCTTGCCGTGAGGTTCGTCCAGTTCAACGCCCACCCAGACTCCTCTAGCGCCGACGATTTCGCCCAAAAAGCGTACAAAGCCAAAGAGTTCTCGATCCGAAATGCACACACGATCACCAATGTCCAAGGTCGAACCTGTTGACAATTGCACTAGCAGTCCCGACGACAGGAGGTCCTCATCCACGCTAGCATTTGACGCCGAGTCTGCGCCTTTCATCGTCTCACCCGCGTCCGACAACACCAGTGCCTCGAGTCGTTTTAGAATCTTGTAGTCGACCAAGCTCATGACAACTTGTGCGCGTTTGGGAAAGACCTTGTGGAAGGCAATGAAGAGCTCGTGCGCTTGCGTGCGGCACGAGGAGCTGGCGTCGTACAAGGCGTGCTGCAGTCCCTTTTCCAGCTGCTGGACGTCACCTTTGTCCATCCCCTGGCTCCACGTGACAAGTGCGCGATGGAGACACGAGATGCAGCACAGACGAATGAGCTTGTTCTTGCTCTCGAGCAAAATGTCCACAAAGAGCCGCAGCGTCGCGCCCTTCACGACCGTCTGCGTGACGAGAGCGTCAAGACACTCGCTGCAGTACGAGCCACAGACTTTGTTCCCACTGCCTCGCACTTCTACGAGCGTGGGCAGCACGTCCCGTAGAAAAGGAGCCATGGCGTCTCCTGTGACCCTCGAGACGGTCGTAAGCAGCGTGCAGACCTCCTTGACGAGCTGCGAGCGCAGGTCTTGGATCAAACTTTTTAGCGGCCGCAGGGTTTTCCACATTTCGGTGCTCAGACTGGCAGCTATTGCTCCTGGAGCTGGGGCGTCTCTCTCCAGCTGCTCGAACGCGCGCTGCATCTCGCTGAGGGCTGCGAGACGCTCCTGCCAATTGTCCGAATTGCGAGCAATGCGATCCATTTGACGGGTCACTAGAGTCACGAGCGTCTCCTGGTAAAAATAGTGCATGGAGCAGCGTTAATACAGAGAGGAGATGGTGATGGTGATGGTGGAAGTAGGAATGGGCTTCCAGAGAGAGAGAGAGAGAGGCAAAGGCCGCACCTTACTCATCGCTGGGGTCGGTCGCATTGGACTTTAATTTGGTCGGTCTAAAGTCTGCTGACGCGGTAGGTGGAGGTTGGAAAAGTGGAGAGCTCTTGTGGTGATGTGAAGTTGCACGGGAATCTCTGAGTTGGAATATAGATCATTTTGGCTGTCGTCGAAAGGAGCTTTATTTCTCGTTTGGGTCTGTTGGAGACTAGTTGTGGTGCTTGGGCATGGCATGTACTGAATTTAGGATGTCGAGGTGTGGCATTTCGACGATTGGCTATAAAGCAGAATTAAATGCGCTTTAAATTAGAGGACGATGATTTGATTTGTGGCTTTAGATCTGCGCTATCGTGTGGTGGAGATTATCGCTTTCTGGTTAAAATCTCTTGAAACACTGATATAGTACACAAGTGGCATTTTGTACACGGTTGTTAATTCGACGATGCTACAATTTTAATTACCAGTGCTGTCATGCGTGATAGCGTATTTAAATGGAAGATCTTAATTTGCAAAGATGGTACGAGATTGAACACATTTCACATCTTTGTAGCATGGATGATTACGACTTCCTGCCCAAGCAGTTCACGTTGTGCACCCGCTACTGACCTTCTTTCGTCACTTCATTGACTTGTCGTAATTGTGGTAAGCGACGAATAGTGTGAATAATTGTGGCCTTGCGGACTAGCTGTGTGTCTGGGATGACCCCTCAATCGACCTCTTCCGTATATTGATGGCTATCCTACGTCTCATCATTAGCAATATGCGATAAACGTTTCGTTATTGTGACTGACGATATCAACATGCGCTAACAAAAGAGAAACGGTAGAAAACGGTGGCTGATTATGAATCCACAGCTAAGTGATGCACTAACCAATGCTTCCCAGGGGTGAATAATTCTGCACGGCATCTGGAACCGGCATGAGTTGCCGTCCTCCTGGAATCTCCAAACGATTTGTGACCAAATAATGCGAAAGTTGCAATGCGGTTCGTAGGTATGTCTGCTAATGCCAACTCAAAGTGGGTGCGTCTCTTTCCCATCCACCTGAACAGTGTACCACCCCCCCCTTATCTGTTGTGGTCCATTAGTAAATGAAAGTTACATTCGTTTTATCCAATAAACAGATCCAATACCCTACCGAGTTAATTCAGCGATAAAATCTTCTGCCACAGTTTCCCCTTTCAGTTCAAGTGGTTTTTTCGTTGTAGCTTCTTCTCGCAACCCCTCGATGTATATCTATAATCCTGCATGATCCACATTTTTCCTCTCACACCTATGATCTCCCAACAAAGGGTAACTATACTCTGGTTTTTGTACGCTTGTACAAATCATCGATCGCAACATACGTCCTATCAAATCTTATCCTAGCTGAGGGCAACCATCTCGTCATACGACGTGACTCTGACATGACTGATTATCTTCGGGTCTTTACTCGATGAGGCTCTTTTTTACTGGAAGCAAGTGAGGCTCTTGGTGCATCCAGTCGAAATGTTACAATCTGTGTCGCTCGAGGTTCGAATTTTGGCATCGTGGATTCACGCACGGACTCACCGGAAGACTGTACACGCGTTACGGACTAAGATAGGGGAGCAAGCTCTAGAGCTCGCTCTTTGATAAAAGTAATCCAGTTCGGAGAACTGGATCAAGTTGCAAATTACTAAACATCAGCAATCATTGAAGAGGTAGTATGATGCTGTAAATGTCTGTATCAATAAAGTACAGTTGGCAGGGACAACGCGATCGGCCTCTACTTATGAACTTCCAGCATTTACTTATGTGATCATGTACACCTTTGATCGATTTCAAGCCAATTACGTGCGTGCGTCACAATAGTGACATTGCCAAAGAACGACTTCACCTGTGCGTGTAATAATTTTTTATCAGGATGGTATGTATACCAAGCAAATAAACGGCTTCTCATTCTTATCATAATAAGGTAATGCAATCCCGCATTGATATCACACGCGAAATCATGAAGCAGTTTGGGCACGAGCAGATCCGACGAAATGCGCGTGTGAAGCAAAAAAAGGATGTCGCTCCTACGGACGATCGTACCGCTATTGCGTTCGCGCAACTTGAGAACGAACGTTCGACTCGCTCTCTTCTTGATGAGCTGGCTGCTGCTCGTCGAGACATCGCTGAGCTGCGTGAACAGGTCGCTTCGCTAGTCAACCATACTGTTTCGTTGAAACGGGACCACTCGAAGGTGGTAGCTTAGAAAAAATCCAGCTAACGGCGATATACCAGCTATTGAAAAAATATTTAAAATTATAATAACAGATAATTATTTATTCAGTGTATAAATATTTAAAAAATCTGTTAAATATTTAATAGGTTTATGATTTATATTTAGAAAAGAAAATACAAATTTAACAATAAATGTTGGTAATATTACTACTACTTTAAAAAAAGTTGTTTTTTCAGATGAATCTTGAAAAATTGTTTTTAATAAAATATTAAATAGTTGAATGGTTAATAATTTTGAAGTCAGTTTATGCCCCACACTCATACAGACAACAGTGTTTAAGCTACATACACTGATGACAATGTAGATAGATCAATTTAACCTAACAAATCACGGATACAAGGAGCGCGGGATGCCAAGCGGAAGCACTTGGTCAAATGGACAAAAACTGTGTCAATAAATGTGAGCAATTCTGAACTTCACATTCACGATTCAGTAACCAAAAGTGCGTCACAATGGTGACATTGCCAAAGAACGACTTCACATGTGCCTGTATACGTATGTGGTGGGGACAGGCTAGATCGCACTTTGTACGGGTAAGCTACTCCTAACCGCGTTATTTACAGACAAACAGACACACGGATAAGCACGAATTTGATGTTCAGTATGCAGCTTGCGCACAGTCACTAATAGCTTCACCCTTCGAGCTCGCAATAAACGTCTTCATATTGCTACATCTCTGTCTTCTGTACTCATTTACGTTTCTGATCATCTACGCAAACTACATAAAATGGAAGTATGCCTTATCGCATGCTCATAAGTATGCTCACATTTGCCCATTTACAGTAATTTAGTCTCCGATGATCTACCACCCGTCAGGTGTTCTCGGCATTGCCACCTCTCAATTATCAGCGAGAGAGCCTTGAACGAGGAATATGCTAGCTAGACATGATGCTATCTGTACAGAGAAAATGCATTCTGGTAATGTTACGTTAAAATTATATTCCATTGATCGATAGCGCTGGGAAAAAGTAAGTTTACATCATTTTTGGATAATCCCTCGCTATCTATCTCCTTATCTCATGTAATAAAATAATTTGCTGACAGTTTTGGTTGATCCTTCGCTGCCTATGTCCCTGTCCTAATGCTCTAGATGTCCTCCTTCTCTGTCCACCCAAGCATGTATCGATACTTTACTCAATCGGAATACAATGCAGTAATTATTTTCCTAGCATACACTAAGTCGCCAGCCGCCACTTTGACCAGTTTCATAACTAGTTTGCACTTTTTGTAGGCCAGGAATTAATTAACAAATCGATGCAATCTAAAAACGCGTAACGTTGCAGAAATGGGCGGGTCGGGCTTTAGTGAGCTGATTCGCGAGCATCACTGTGAACCCGAAGAGAGAAGCTGGTAGTGAATGCGCACAAGGTAGATGCCGAAATTTTTAGATTGTACTTATCCCTGTGTGTTTGTAAATAACGCGGATAAATGCACCTTACAAGTACTGAGAGCGACTTAGCATGCCCCCTCCTCATAGGTATGTAGACATGTGAATTCACTCTTTGGTTAGGTTACTATTGTTACGCACGCAAGTAATTGGCTTGAAATCGACCACAGGTGGATATGATCACATAAGCAAATGGTGGACGCTATAAGCAAAGGATGGACGCGTTGCACGACTAAACTGTACTGAGTCAACTTATACATGAACATCATCACACTCATTCTATAGTAAATGCTGTTGTGTAATGCTTTGTAACTTAATTCACTTACCCGAACTGGATTACTTATAAAAAAGGGCAAGCCCCAGAGCTTGCTCCCTATCTTACGTAGTATTAGAGTAAGTTCCCGCGTCTAGTGTTGGACGCACACAAAATCGGCTCAAACTTCTGTTTCGGCTTGAGTGGCGACGCTTCACCATTTATATTGCCAACGTCCGCCTTGTGTCGACGCGTATCGGCATATTGGCACCATGTCAATATCCGGAGCATCTGACCCGCTCAGTGTTTTGCAAACTTCACGACCTCAGCTTCAATTATCGAGAGTGGCGCCGCCTTACTTCTTGGCGCTCCACTTGACCGCTAGGTCGTTGGAAATGATGATGTCGCCCTCCATATATATTTGATGAGATTCGTCTGCAACTAGGACGTCATCCTGTGAGACTCATGTGCGGTCGGTATGTTCTTGTTATCTCTAGACTTCATGCTGATCTTCATTGCCTTCATGCCTTAGGGTAGCAAACCACAAACTTTGCAGATTTCTAATCATGGAGACGCGATAATGAAAATGTCGCGTGGTCTGTAGACAACAAACGTATTGGCATGACTTGTGCATTGCGCTACCCAAATCCAGCGACCCTGCATGCTACTAAAAATCTTGATCGCTGGTTAACCACTCTTGGTTAAGGCCTCGATATCCTCTCTGTCGGCCGGCTGCACTAGTCATCATCGATAGGCGTCAGCGTTGAGTTGACATCCGTAAGCCCGCGATCGATAAGTAGCTCGTTAATTGCTTCCTCTTGCATCAGAAAAATATCCTTCATCATGGTAGAGTCATGATTATTCCGAGAAACTTACTGGTGCAGACAGGATTCTTAATTTACAGGCTGGCGAATAAAGTTCGACGAACCGGTGTATGCGGCTAGCAAGTCGTTCATGCATAAGCCTACTAAGATGCTGTCATCCCGTTAAACTTCGAGTAGAGGTAATTGTCTAACACGCCTCATGTAAAATCGCACTGTAAAAATCGCATACTTGCGCTGTCTCCAAACTCGATGTACTTCTTGAGGTCGTACGAACCACCACACGGATTAAGTGTCAATCCACTAATCCGTCCATGGGTTCGATAAACGGATTCTATCCGATTCTCATGCGTGAACAGAAAATCCCGTACACAGCTGTGATCGTCCCCTGTGGTAACTCTGGGAGTGGATAGTGATGCCACAGGGGCTAAGTAACGCCCCTAAAAGGTTCAACAAATAAGTTTGACAAATCTGATGAGACCGGTGTGAGATTTCGCACCACGAAACTATGACGATGATTTCGTCCATAGCCGTGCTATGGATGGACAGACGGACGTGGAGGTTCATATATCCACGTCCGGAAGGCTCTAACACTTTTGCGTGAGAATAAGTTATTAGCCAAACTCAAGAAGTGTATAATTGCAGCAAGCGAAACACCACTTCTTGGCTGCATCGTGGGTAAACATGGCGTACGCCCTGCTCCAGAAAAGATTAAGGTGATTGGCGACTGGCCTGTGCCTGTCGACGTCAAGGGACTTCAAGAGTTCCTGAGCTTAGCGGCGTACTTGCACAAGTACTGGCGCAACTACGTTGAGATGATCTTACATCTCTCTCGCTTGCTAAGGAAAAACGAGAGGTGGTCATGGAGTGCTGAGCGCAAGCACTCCTCCGAAGATGTCAAGAAAAGTTTGATACCATCGCCTGTGTTGTCGATTGCGTATCAATACTGACCATTCCACGTGGTCTGTGACGCTAGCGATTTTGCGATCGGCTTCGCGCTAATGCAGTACGACTCAGACGTTGCTGAGAGCGTCATCCGCTATCAATCGCGTCAGCTGCAAGCTGCTAAGCGTAATTATCCAGTGCATTACAAGTGACTCCTTTCCGTGAAGTACGCACTATCAAAATTTTGCTTCTATCTATTTGGATTAGGCTATTTGTAGTTTATACCGACCATGCGTCGCTACGAACGGCCGTACATATTACACACCTCTTGCAACGATTATCAAGGTAGCTATGTCTTTCTTCGAGGAGTACAACATCTCCTTCAGGTATAAACCAGGATGACTTAATGTCGTCACTGGCGCGTCATCGCGCCGACCCAACTTTGATTCGGCTGCGCAGTTCAACAGTGGGGTTGTCATTACTGTTGCAATACTATCCACTAGTGTTCCGTCGTCGAGTCTGCTCAACGATGTGCGTAATGCATACGCAGAAGATAAGGCTAATTTGCGGTAAATGGATTACGTATCTGTTCTATGCCGTCAAGCTTTTCAAATCTTAACGATTCAATACCGCTCTTCAACCGAGCGGTATTTGGTTCGTGATGGACTTCTGCACTATGCAGCAGTCAACGGCGACACACCTCGTGTCGTTGTTCGAGCTCATAATGATTTGTGATCGCGCATCATGTATGAGTGTCACGATGTCCCAACAAGAGGACAGCGCGGTAGAAAATGTACTTATGGCACAGTAATTCGTGACTTCTGCTGGCCTCGCCAGTATAAGTTTAAGCGCAATTACATCCGCTCTTGCAAAGATTGCCGACAAGTGAAGCCTACTTCTTCATCCCGTACACCCTTGCAGCCTCTACTGATTCCGACAGAGTGCTTGCAGTCTTTATCGATGGACCTTGTCTTCGGGTTTCCCATAGACGCTTACAAGAATACTGGCATTCTTGTGTTTGTAAATAGGTTCAGCAAGATGGTACATCCTGTTGCTGTACCGGAGTCAATCACAGCCCAGGTCTGTGCTCGTGTCTTCATCGATTCTATCTTCCGACTTCACGGGTTACCCCGTAAATCTGTGTCTGATAGGGACCCCCGCTTTTTAGCAAAGTTCTGACAATTCGTGCTCCGTTCGCTTAAAACACGGTTATAGATGTCGACTTCCGACCATCCAGACACATATGGTCAGACGGAACGCGTTGACCGCGTCCTCGAAGAGATACTTCGAGGGTACGTCCACTCGTTTACGGGTTGGAGTGAGTTCTTGCCAATGGCGGAACCATCAACAACTCGGTGCGTGGCTCAACAACGCATACACCGTTCTTCTTGAATGTTCTACACCCGCCTACTTTGAGTGTAACTATAGTTTGAAGGAGGGCGGGTGGACTCGCTCAATCCAAAACCGATCTGGTGCTTGCTCATCATACGTCGACAGTGGTGTCGACGTGATGGATTCCGATATCGATCACATTGACATCGATGGTAATGGTGACGACAATGCTGGTATATTCAGCATCGCCGACGACTGCTACAGCTCTCACTGATTGAGACAACATTCTTTCAGCAGTGCTCTTTGTGCGCACTGCTGTTGACAAGAACGAGTCAACAGGGGAATTACTGCTGACTCGCGAAGCTGTTTTCGGCTTCGTGTAAGACTATTGTAGACTCAATAGACAAACAGAAAAGAAATGCAGACAAACATTGAAGAGCAACTTTGTTTATAAAATAAGGAGACTTAGTATCACTGTCAGTAGTAAATCTATTTAACATGCATTGACTAACGTGAGCAGCAGTAAACTACTGCCCTAGTAAATTGGTCCATTTCGTGTATTGCGCCTCAAGGACAATGTATACACGTTAGAATTGCCTCGTATGATGCGTACATCCTACGTTTCACGTCGGACTTCTTCGCCTATACTAATAGAACGATCCCGTTTCGAGAGACGAAAAACACCTCCGCGGTCAAGGGCCGAGACCACCTTCTGGTGGCCCCGTTTTAACGACCCAGTATGGCCGGCTAGCGAAGCGACCTGCTAACGCAGTTGAGCGACGTCCTGACGAGCTGCAGTCAACTCGTCACGAATAGAACGAATCGGACGTTCGTTCTATAGCTGAGCAAACGCAAAAGCGGCAAGATCGTACGGACGATCATGCGCTAAGGAATTGCAGTTATCCTTTACAAGGTCATGAAGCTTATAACGCCGAGTCCTTTCGTGATCTAAGTCATCGTGTAACTGATCGGTTACGGGGTTCGGTTCTTGAACATCACGCTGATTTGACCCTCGAGCCGGATCAGGTATTCCCGCCTACACCACATACTTTGGTGGATTCTGGCGGTGGTCAACGCTTTCTGGTGTAGCGTATTTTGAACCACCGCGACGTGAGTGGTATCCGAACAAGTTACCTCGTCCTCTGTAGTGGCTATCCACCTACCCAGGACATCTGGGAGCCTCGTGCCCAGCTGATTGTTGATGCATTGGGTCTCGTCGAGCAATATGAAGGGACCCGCCCGCTGCATACAAAGATGGGACGTCGTAAAACGACCTCCCCGAACGCGAGTACATAAATTGCAAAGTGTTAATCCCTTCGGCCACCCTATCAGGGATGCGTACCTTCTAGAAGGAATATGAGGGAGGTAGGCCTAGCTAGGGAAACGACTAGCATTGTCCAGACACACTGACACAGATCGTCTCACAAGAGATAGAGTAAACCTGCCTCTCTTGACATTCGGTCTTATTTGTATCGTGCACCGGATAGGTTATGTTAATCAAAACTGATGCAAGCTGCAACAAGTTTACAGAGAGAGACCTCACGGCCAGTGCACTCGATGTTATGAATGAAGGCATTCCATCTATGTATCAAGGCATTGCCGTCTCGACCACGATTGCCATTGTATCACCGATGTTTAAAAAACGCATCGGTGAAGAACTCTTTCTCAGCACGGATAGTTTTCATACTGGAAATGGGAGGACAGATTCTCCTACAGTCGAACAAAGGGACCTGATACCGTTCGGTGGTCTTGCCGGCCACTCGATCTAATCCCTTGGATCATGGCATCCAAGGTGAACTTACTTGAGGAGCGTGGTGCAGGGCATTTCGGTCCTTTGCCTCTTGTGTGGTGTCAGCATGAGCACTGACACCAGTGGCAGCTCGGTCCCTCGAGTTTCTTTCTTCGTGGTAGCGCGTAGGTGCATCACCACCAACAACCCGCGTCCTAGTGTAAGATGGACTTGCCCACTTTGAGGATTCGTCAGAAGAAATCGCTCGGTCCGAAGATCTAGAACATGATAGCTTCATGTTCCTTAACACCATTTAACCTGGCTCTAGCAGTGTCCGCCCCGGGTGATCCGGAAGCAGGAGGCGCCGCCTTCGAGATGGATGCATCATCCAACTTGCCATAATCGATGAGCTCTATTTCTTGCTCGTGCTTATTGCGACTCGCAGCACCCGCTACAGACGCAGCGGATACAGTTTATGCACGTGTGACGCACCACGTGGTTTGTCGCTATAGGCACTACCTGGTACTCACTCGCAACAGCAGGTGAACGATCACGTAATGCTGATGATTGAATTATAATCTCTTCTGCTGCCCGCATACGAGCAACCTCCTTCTTGCCTTCTTCGACAGCGCACCGCATGGTATATAAAACCATGCGATGAATTGGTAAATGAGTTGTATTTAGCCAATTAGTGCTACCCTTTCCCTCAGTCATCTAACGGTGATCACCCTGTCCCCAATAATTTTAATTTAATCACCACAATGATGATTTTCTGGGGGGGTGATGTAGAGGGGCAGCTTGAAACATGACATTGACACCAGACGGTGTCAATTGGAAGATTGTCTAGCGTGACAATTCCCTGCCAATATTACACGAGATAGGTAATATTGAAGGAACATTATCCCTTAGGATAATATGCGTGTGCTGCTCGGAGATTGGTTGATAACAGACATGTCAACAAAGGTTACCATCAATCGCTGCTAGACGCGCGTAGTGGGTAGTGAGCAGGTTGTCGTCGTACGACAATGTATACCAACATAGTTCGATGAAGATTGAAGTTACATTGATAGCTTAACTGTATGAAATACAGTTCTCTTTTTACCCTATAATCAAACTAGCTATTTAGTAATTAGCTTCCTCTGCACGTACGAGTGTACGTGCAGTTTCGTGACACTCAAGAAAAAGGCACCCCGTTACAGCAAAAGGACAATTTTTATTTAAGAGATAAGGAAGATGATCCCGCTCGGTCACGCGGTCAAATACAAAGTCTAAGATTGTACACTATTAATCAATTGAAGGGACTCCCTCTGCCGCCAAAAGAGGAAGGTTGCAATGAGGCACTGGTAACTAGTGTGTTTCAGTACTAGTGTACCTACACTGAATAGTGTAGGTATTGCCGCGCATCACGTCACGTACAAAGTAAGTACAGCAAAAGGATAGCTAGTGAACGACTTTTTATATGGTAATGAAAAGTGAAACCGCATAAAACAAAAGCAAGTCTTTAGAATGTGTAACAACGTCTAGTCCTAACTAATTGTATCTATCTACAAAATGGTATGCTTAAATCTTGCTCACCACTCATTGCGTGCCTCAATCGATTATTGGACTGCTTGTGCTGGCTGATATGATGGTCCGTATCAGCCAATTGGTGAGTATTTATGCATATTACCCCTTATGGTAACATTCATGAGCAATTTAACCTTCATGATAAAATTCTAATCAACAAGTATCAAGGTTAATTACATGTAACATGCTCACTCCGTTGCATCACCCCCTTTTACACAATAGTCACTTAGTAACTATCATGTTGATGTCGTCAGCCATTGACCAAAATAGGGACAGGGAGCACTCATCTTGGTCTGATCCACTTATTTTGGGATCTTCGTCGCATGGTGAACAACGCTATGCGATGTGCGACGGAAGCTGCTGAGAAGGCAGCTGCGCGCGTTAATTCTGCTGCTCTTGACAATGCTCATACTCTCGCGGCAGACGATGCTTACAAAGTTGCCTCTTCGACTCTTCCTACAGCAGCAGTTGCTGCAGAGGAACATGGTGCGTCACCGCGCATTAAGGATGGTGAGGGTTCCTAAGTAGAACTCATCTATTAGGGGGAGTCGGATGGTGGGTTCAACTCAAAGAAGACGCCTAAGTCGCCCGAGTCTCAAAGTGCGACCGAATGTGAGTCTACAATTAGGACGCGGGTAGGTAGTTCGACTCATTAAAACCTAAGATCCTATTGAGCTTGGAGGATGGTTTTCTGACTCATCCCTTGCGCATTCTCTCCCTGGCGAATGCGGTGAAGTTTTGCAGCGTCGTGATGATGATTGTAGTGTTGCTAAGACTTCCGTCGGTACCACGCAGGAAGATCCAGAAGGCAATGTGCTGCGTCTATTCCCTGAGCACAAGCCTTGGGTACTACCAGAAAGGCTTGTGAATGACTTGTCAGGCGAGACAAGTCAACATCATCGGATTCTATTTTTCGATGCGAGGCTGTTGCACGGCCTTTGCATCAGCGCGAGCAACATTCGCGCTAAAGAGGACATTCATTTCGATGCTTTTATCAAGTACCTTTGGTATACCGGCAAAAACAAGCGGGACAAAAGCTCGTTGCTGCAGGTGTAGAATGCCTTCACACTTAAGATTTAGCGCATTAATCGTGATGTCTGGCTACAAAAATTTGATGCAGCTCGCATCACGTTTGAGGAACGAACCTTAACGGGTGCAAAAGTCAGATTGCAACATCTGTCTCGTGAGTCAGATATTCCATCCCTCACGCGGGGCGACGCATTTCCGTGTTGTTTTAACAGCACACAACGCAGTAAAATGGACGTGTACTCCCTTTCTTCGCCCTGGGATAGGGCGCACACCTTTTCTGAGATGCCTGATACGATTGCCGACCTTCAATCGCTCTACCAGCGCTATGGGCGCGTGTTCTCCGATAAATATTCTGAGTCATCGGATGTGTCTAGTCGTACTGGTGGACGAGACCCTAAACGTCAGTCATCAGCTGGTCGCGAGACATCCAGCTTTCGTGCGACGGCGGATAGCCTCTTCAGAGAGCAATGTAACTCGTTCTCTGCCCCATCACGTCACAGTGATTCAATATATGCTCACAAGGGAAAGCGTTGACCACCTATCGATTCCACAGACGGCTATGGCGAGGGCGAAAATATCAGCTCCAATTTACGTTTTGAGTGGCAGACGGAGCTGGATTGTGTTTACAAACGTGTGCGCGATCTGTGTGATTCACCGAATAAGAGAGACAGGAGTGTTTTCAATTGGATCCGTCAATTCGATGATTTTGCCTTCATCGGTCTGATGACCGCGCGTATTTGAGCTCTTACGTTTATAGAACGAGCAGAGGCGTTAAGCCTTTTGTGGTGAAATGTCTGACATTCGTCGCCAACATGCGGTACGACAGAGACAGTCTGGGTAACTGTCTCGGGATCAAACCATTCTTTTGAAATTTTTGAACGTGTCGGGTTTATCTTCCGAGGGAAAGAACTCAAACTGATATTACGATCGGAGACGGCCGGCATAAACGTAGGATGTGTGGGCATTTTGCGAGGCAACTTGATCGTGTACACATTGCCTTTGCGGTGTAGTGTACAAAACGGGCCATGCACTTGGACAGTAGTTTACTACTAACTACATTAGTTATTCCGTGCTTAGGTATACCTACCGTAGACATTAGAGCTATTTCTCTGACATAATATAGAAGAACGTTTACTATTTCTTTTTGTCAGCGTTTAGTTTCGGCCGGCCCACCGCGTCACACATGGAGTCTTGCACAAGCATTGAAGCGTAATAATTTATTCACTTCCTTTTTCACTTAGAATATTATTTTGAGACATTAACGATCAATCTGGGCTGTTTCCCTTTTGACAAAAGACCTTAGCGTTTAATGTCTAACTATTTAAATTACGTTTTTTGTATTCGGAGTTTCCAAGAATTTAGTAAATTATCACATTACACAAGGGTGAGTAAGTTTTTGCACAAGATGTACCACTTCTCCTCGAGTCAACAGATATATCTTCTGACTCTGTTGTGTTTGTATCATTGCGCCTGGTGTGCACTGGTAAGAGCTGCATCTCTTCTTTAGCGAGGGTGTCATCACCCTCGCTGGCATAGTCAATAGCGATGCTTAATATATCAGTATCGTCGTCCTCGTCTGGTTCAGCAAAAGTATCGTCACTTTTGCTAATGTTATCGTCTTCGATGTCGAATTGATCGATTCGGCAACGTTCGCGTCGTTGTGTATTTGGCATGCGATAAGAAGAGCCATAAAATTTATTGCTCGAGCGTATCTACCCCCCTCAAAACAAATTAGCACTTTAAATGAGTGGTTAGACGTTAATGGCGTAATCCATACACAAAGAATGGCGTATGCGCTGTCGACGCATGCACGTAGTTGTTAATGGCAACCTTCACCATCGAAAAAAGCTCGCTCCCATCTGTGAAGGTTTGAGTGTATCCTCGAAGCGTCTCTTCAAAGATGCAGTGGACGCGTTCTGTCTGACCACCTGTCTCGGGGTGTTCAGAATTTGACATAGTCAGACGTGTTTCGGGGTATCGGAACGCGAATTGCCAATACGCCACCGTGGATCAAGGGTCTCTATCACAGTTTGTTAGTGAGGCAGACCGTGAAGTTGAAATACCGTGTCAACGAAGACACGTGCACAGCCTAGTGCTGTGATTGACTCCCGAATAGCACCAAGATGTATCATCTTGATGAAATGATCAACAAACACAAGAACTTCATTATCCTGGTGAGCGTCCTAGGAAACTTGAAGACGAAGTCGATTGAAACGGACTGCCAGCACTCTGCCAGGATTGGTAGAGGCTGTAGTGGCGCACGGGATGGAGAAACGTTGGCACTCCTCGCAAGCAAGAATGTACTTGTGCACAAACTGACACTGGCAGATTGAGTAAAAGTTTTGACTTACGGCAAGAATAGCCTTCTCAAGCCCATAATGACCACTGGATTGTGCATCATCACAATCACACAAGATGCGCAGGCGCAAATCATTATGAGTGGGAACAACGACACGAGGTGTGTCGCCGTTGACTGCCGTATAGTACAGAAGTCCACCACGAACCAAATACCGTTCGGTTGAAGAGCGGTATTGAATCGTTAAGATTTGAAAAGCTTGACGGCATAGAACAGATACGTAATCCATTTACCGCAAATTAGCCTTACCTTCTGCGTATGCTTTACGCACATCGTCGAGCAGACTCGGCGACGGAACACTAGTAGATAGTATTGCAACAGTAATGACAACCCCACTGTTGAACTGCGCAGCCGAATCAAAGTTGGGTCGGCGCGATGACGCGCCAGTGACGACATTAAGTCATCCTGGTTTATACCTGAAGGAGATGCTGTGCTCTTCGAAGAAAGACATAGCTACCTTGATAATCGTTGCAAGAGGTGTGTAATATGTACGGCCGTTCGTAACGACGCATGGTCGGTATAAACTACAAATAGCCTAATCCAAATAGATAGAAGCAAAATTTTGATAGTGCGTACTTCACGGAAAGGAGTCACTTGTAATGCACTGGATAATTACGCTTAGCAGCTTGCAGCTGACGTGATTGATAGCGGATGACGCTCTCAGCAACGTCTGAGTCGTACTGCATTAGCGCGAAGCCGATCGCAAAATCGCTAGCGTCACAGACCACGTGGAATGGTCAGTATTGATACGCAATCGACAACACAGGCGATGGTATCAAACTTTTCTTGACATCTTCGGAGGAGTGCTTGCGCTCAGCACTCCATGACCACCTCTCGTTTTTCCTTAGCAAGCGAGAGAGATGTAAGATCATCTCAACGTAGTTGCGCCAGTACTTGTGCAAGTACGCCGCTAAGCTCAGGAACTCTTGAAGTCCCTTGACGTCGACAGGCACAGGCCAGTCGCCAATCACCTTAATCTTTTCTGGAGCAGGGCGTACGCCATGTTTACCCACGATGCAGCCAAGAAGTGGTGTTTCGCTTGCTGCAATTATACACTTCTTGAGTTTGGCTAATAACTTATTCTCACGCAAAAGTGTTAGAGCCTTCCGGACGTGGATATATGAACCTCCACGTCCGTCTGTCCATCCATAGCACGGCTATGGACGAAATCATCGTCATAGTTTCGTGGTGCGAAATCTCACACCGGTCTCATCAGATTTGTCAAACTTATTTGTTGAACCTTTTAGGGGCGTTACTTAGCCCCTGTGGCATCACTATCCACTCCCAGAGCATACCACAGGGGTGATCAATGCTGTACGGTAATTCTGTTTATGCACGAAAATCGGATAGAATCCGTTTATCGGATACATGAGCGAGAAGATGGTACTTTTTTACAAACCATCTATGATTCCGTCCTTCCTCGGTATCCGCGTCAGAGCTGATACCGTTGCAGCATTCAAACTTGTCTAATGCGTGCCCTATCCGCCATCCTCATGTGGCCTTATTCACACCGAACGTCGGAGAGCTAAGAGAGGAAGTTTATCCCCTCACATGGCATGCTGCAAAGCGATCGGATAGGAATTTGTCGATCGCTAGTACTTGTTCACGAGGCAGTGGTCACTGCTACATGACACAGTACTTCGAGCCTGCTTTGAGCTTGATCCACGTCAAGTGCCTTTGCTCTTAAACAATTTGCATGGCATCGATCTAGGGAACGCGTCCTTTTTCGATCAAATCCTTGTAAAAAGGGTTTTTCTTCAAAGACTCGTAAGATGAAGACATGTACCGCTCAATCTCGGTCTTCTCATCGAGGACTTTCATCCATCGATGGGCTACTGAGAACCCGTTCGTTCTCACTAAACACTTGCGCCGACCGAATGTCTGTCACATACTCATACTCTGTGAAGCGTATGCAGATCTGCTTGACCTTGCCACTACGCATATCACGCAAAAGCCGTTTCGGTGCTAGGGTTTGCATTTGAGCGATTCCTAAAACAATTTGGAGTCATCAGCAGATCAAGCGTACCAGGGCAAACGCTTGATTTTTCTTTGAACGAGAAGTATAATGTCTCGGTTCCTTCCTGAGAACTTGTCTTTATAGGATGCTGAGAGCCAGTTCTCTCAGCATGTAATTTTGAT